ATACGTGCACTAGGAACAGGCTCCTCCTGTTCCTCTGCCTGTCGGCTGTCAGCCTCTGGAGGCCCCGGAGTCCATGCATCCCTATGGCCCTGGCCCCATCTCTGCCTCAGACGCAGAGCCCTCAGCCGGGCCTTCCCCAGCCTCCAGGACTGGCCCATGTTCTTCCTCAGCTTCATCGCTGTCCGACTCCTCTGCCAGCTCCACAGGCCACTGGTGGATCACAACAGGTCCTAAAGCAGTATTGGTTAACCTTTTTGGCACCAAGTGGAAACCAGAAGAGCAGCTGTCCGGTGTGCATACATGTGCCGGGAAGATGATGTTCTGGTTTCTGATGCGCACATGCGCACCGGCCACCTAGTCTTCCAGTTTCTGGCACACGCCCACAAGAAGACCAGCTGGCCAGCACGCATAGGTTTGCCATCACGGTCCTAAGGGGATACTTCCTAGTTGGGTGATTGTCGTATCCCTTGGTACAGGAATGCACAAATAATGAAAAAAAATCCCCCCCCCACCCTTATTTGGCCTTGAGACAGAGACACAGTCCTGGTGTTTGAACGCAGCCACACCTGGCCCGGGAGACAATGTCAGGAATTGGGTGAGAGGCTGCAGAAAGTTGCATCAGCATTGGTTTGGATTTTTCCCAGAGGAGAGGGAGGCCAAGTCAGTTCGAGATCGGTTTTGCACAGTTGTTTGGGAGAGGGTGATTGTTGATTTTAAAAAGATTTTTAACAAGGGGTCCTTGGTGCTATCTGAGCTGGATTGTTTTCACGTCCATATTTCATTATCCAAACATTACCCAGGTTTCTTGCGAGTCTGGGAAGGCTTTGAGAAGTTTGTTTTAGTTTTTCCAAGCAATATTAAAAAAATGTCTTCTCAGCTACCTCGACCCTTGCTGGACAATTTGTACAGCTTTTCATACCCAAAATGGGAAGTATTTTTTCTGTCTTTTGTACATTCCTCAGAATTGTTTTTGATGTTCTGTAAAAGTCAAAGGTTGACGGGTTGAGGGATTAGACCACTCAGATTAATTCCACCAAGTGCTGTTTCTTTTCTTTCTCTTTTTTTTCAAGTTTTTTATTTTTTTATTTTTTATAAAGATAACAAATCGATGCGCGAACAGTGTGGCAACTGGGTGTCATGCATTCTAATGCAAATACTAATCAGGTTAATCATAATCATTATATTCAATCCGCTTATGTATTTCTAATAATAATAATACACACTTGAATTAAGTTATAGTCTATCATTATTCAATTATTCCACGTTTTCTCTTGTTATTACTTTCATTTTATGATATAAAAATGTATACACTAATATTCCCCCTTCTCTTGTTTCTATCACTTATTCTAACTTTTAATCATATCAACCTTTATTAAGAGACTTTTTCTTTCTTTCCTATCTAACTTCTAATCGTGTCACCTACCTAAAAAAAAGAAAAGAAAGAGAGAGAAAAGGAAAAGCAACTCAGAACAACAACAAAAAAGAGAAATCCATCCATCCATCATCTCTTGTCCACTTCAATACTTTAATGCTATGCTTTAAAAGAAAGATAGGAAAAAGGAAAAGCAAATCAAAACAACAACAACAACAACAAAATCATCTATCCATCATCTCTTGCCCGCTTCAATACTTCAATTGTTATGCTTTAAAATAAAGATAGGAAAAAGGAAAAGCAAATCAAAACAACAACAACAACAAAATCATCTATCCATCATCTCTTGCCCGCTTCGATATTTTAAGTGCTATGCTTTTTTTTTTTTTTGACTTGCCTCCCGAATACCTCTCTTAAATCTTTATCACTGTCTGTGTCTGCTTCTTGGATGTTCAATCTAGGTATTCCTCCCACCTCTACCCTCTTCCACTGCCTAATTTCTAAAATTTCTACCCAGGCCCCTTGTCTTCCTTTCAAGCATATCTTGAAAGCACTCATATCAAGTACTGATTCTTCAACTTCTTGCCTTCAGGTAGCATGGCTGCATACGGGTAGACCTTGATCTACAACATTTAGTGACACTTCAAAGTTACACTGGCATTGAAAAAAAGTCTCTTATGAACATTTTTCACATTTACGACCGTTGCAGCATCCCAATGAATATTCATTCATTCAATTTATTTATTTATTTATTGGTTCGATTTATATGCCGCCCTTCTCCGGAGACTCAGGGTGGCTTACAATGCATTAAGCAATAGTCTTTATACTTTTGTATATACCCTCTTAGTAGGGCTTTCGCCCCCCCCCCCCAAGTGGTGTTCTTTTTTATACAAAGTCAGCTTATTGCCCCCACAATCCGAGTCCTCATTTCACCTACCTTCGAAAGGATGGAAGGCTGAGTCAACCTTGAGCCTTGGCGAGATTCGAACTTACAGTAATTGCAGACAGCTGGTGCTATTTAACAGCACTTTAGTCTGCTGCGCCACCAAGGCTCTTGGTTCATACACTTGGCAGCTGACTCGTATTTGTAACGGTTGCAGAATCCCGGGGTCAGGTGATCCCTTTTTGCGATCTTCTGACAAGCCAAAGTCAACTGGGAAACCAGATTCACTTAACTAACTGAATCACTGCCGTGATTCCCTTAGCCACTTCGGCAAGAAAGGTCATAAAGTGGCCCAAAACTCACTTCCCAAATCGTCTCGCTTAGCCATGTAAACGCTGGGCTCAATTGTGGTCATAAGTCAAGGACTCCCCCCTATTCGGCCATCCGATGCGAGACGGCCATGTTGACAAGGGGTGTGATGGTCCTGTAGATCAGCAGCTTGGAGAAGACTGGTGTGAACCAGGCCTGATAGTAAGCAAGCTTCTTTGGTAACTTTAGCACAGGTAGTCCTCGACTTATGGTGGTGATTGTCGTAAGACGTGCCACTGCATGAAGAACTCAATTTTACGACCCTTGTTTTAAGGATCTTAAGCGATTCACTGTGTGGTTAAAATGGATCTGCGGGGTATTGCTTGATATCAGGGGTGTTTGCTGAAAAGTGGAAGCAAATTATTATTGCTATTATCAAATCTGTTCGCTGCCCATCTTGTGACGTGAGTGGCTGAAAATGCTAGTTTCCCGCTAAAACATTGTAAATTGTGATTACATGACCATGGGATGATGCAATCAGCCATAAATAGCAACAGCACTTGTATACTGCTTTACAGCCCTCTCTAAGCAGTCAGCCTTTTGCCCCCAACAAGAGAGAGATTGTAGGTAGGTAGATAGATGGATGGATGGATGGATGGATGGAGAGATAGATAGATAGATAGATAGATAGATAGATAGATAGATAGATAGATGAGAGAGAATCATTTTTTTCCATGTCATCGTAACTTCGAACAGTCACTAAGTTGAACTGTTGTAAATTGAGGACTGCCTGTATTGCCAGTTGGGTGCATTCAAGGAGGAGCAAACCCGTTCTGCCCTCAATCCCAAAGAGGCAACCAATCAGTCAATCAGAATAGAGCTCGAAGGGACCTTGGAGGTCTTCTAGTCCAGCCCCCTGCTCAAGCAGAAGACCGTATCCCATTCCGTACAAATGGTTGTCCAGTCTCTTCTTAAAAGCTTTCAGTGATGGAGCACCCACAACTTCTGGTGGCAAGTGGTTCCACTGGTTCATTGTCCTCACTGTTAGGAAGTTTCTCTTTGATTCCAGGTTGCTTCTCTCCTTGATGAGCTTCCATCCATTGTTTCTTGTCCTGCCCTCTGGTGCTTTGGAAAATACCGTATTTTTCGGAGTATAAAACGCACCGGAGTATAAGACGCAGCTTAGTTTTGGGGGAGGAAAATAGGGGGAAAAAATCTGCCTACCAGGTATTCATCTGGCTAGCGTCCTTAGTCTGGTCAGCTTCAGCACATTAGTTTGTTGGTTTTTTTATCCGCTGCTTGGGGATAAAAAACAGCTTCTAAGGCACAGCTGAGAGGAAGCAGCAAACTAAGTAATAATTTTAATTAGCAATTTTATGATGGATGTTTGTCTATATTTTTCTTGACTGTACACCGCCTTGAGTCCTATGGGAGAAAGGCGGTATAGAAATATAATAAATAAATAAATAAATGAGAAAAGCAGGCAAAGCACGGGGGGAGATCGCTTCACTCTGCTAGCACCTAGTTAGGGCTGGAAAAAGCTTCTAAAGAACAGCTGAGAGTCGGAGATCGCTTCACTCGCTAGTGCCTTGTTAGGGCTGAAACAAAGCTTCGGAAAAGCGACATTCGTAGTATAAAACCCACCCAAATTTTCAACCTATTTCAGAGGGAGGGGAGGTGCTCTTATGCTCCAAAAAATACAGTAGATTGACACCCCCTCCCCTCTTTATGGCAGCCTCTCAAATACTGGAATACTGCTCTCATGTCTCCCCTAGTCCTTCTTTTCATTAGACTGGCCCAATGTTGGTGAATCTTTTTGCAATTTGAGTGCTAAAACAGGAGCGCGTGTGCAGACGCGAGCACCGGAAACTGGAAGAACAGTTCCCTGGCGCGCATGTTCGCACCGGGAAGCTGAGCTTCTGGTTTCCGGCGTGCTGGTCACCTAGTACCCCGGTTTCTGGCGCACATGCGCGCACGAAGACCAGCATGCATGCCGGAAACCGGAAGCTCAGCTTCCCAGGGCACACATGAGCACCAGGAAGCTGCTCTTCCGGTTTCTGGTGCTCCTGGGTGCACGAAGACCAGCTGGACGTGCGCCCCGGAACCCGGAAGAGCAACAGGGGACGTCTGGCGTGCCCGGAGAGATGGCTCTGCGTGCCACTTCCGGCACGCGTGCCTTAGGATCGCCATTATGGGACTAGCCAAACCCAAATCCTGCAGCCCTTCTTCCTATGTTTTAGTCTCCAGGCCTTTAATCGTCTTAGTTGCTCCTCTTTGCACTTTTTTTTCCAAAGCCTCAACATCTTTTTTTGTCGCGTGGTGTCCAAAACTGGATTCAGTGTACCGGGTGTGGCCTTACCGAGGCTTTATAAAGGCAGATTCTTGTGTTCCTCTCTTCTCCTTCCTGTCAATTGTTTTCTGCCCTTTTTCTCCTAGTTCCTTGACCAGTTCTGGAGGAAGGCTGAAGATGACCGCGGTGGACGCTCTGTCCGACAGCGCTGAGGCAGTAGAGATGGAGGATGCCTCCACGTCCCAGTTCCAGGTGGAGAAACACTCGTGGGAGGGGCTGCGTGACATCATTCACGGCAGCCGGAAGTACACAGGAATGATCGTGAACAAGGCCCCCCACGACTTCCAATTCGTCCGTAAAACAGAAGAATCGAGCCCTCACTCCCATCGGCTATATTACCTGGGTATGACCTCATGTTGGTTGGCAGGACTTAGAAGCCACCAGAAAGTCGTCGTTACGGTTGGTCGCAACGTCAAGAGGTTCAGGCTGGATTTGGCCGTTTATTTCTCCAAAGGGAGGATGTTCCATAGAGCAGGGGTCTCCAACCTTGGCAACTTTTAAGACTTGTGGACTTCAACTCCCAGAATTCCTCAGCCAGCTTTGGCAAAGCTGGGAGTTGAAGTCCACTAGATTTAAAGTTGCCAAGGTTGGAGACCCCTGCCATAGAACAAGAGGCACTGCAGGATTAGAATTCTGAACCAGCTTTAAAGAGAAATTGGATTTATGTAGGAGATTCAGCTTTTTACTTCCTTCCTTCCTTCCTTCCTTCCTTCCTTCCTTCCTTCCTTCCTTCCTTCCTTCCTCTGATCCCTCCCTCCCTTCTTCCCCTTCCCCTTCCTTCCTACTCCTCTTCCTACTTCTCCTTGCCCCCTCCCTCTCCATCTCCTTCCTTCCTCCGACCCTCCTTTCCTCCTCCTCCTTCTCCCTCCCTCCCTCCATTTTCACTGTTATATACATTTCCTACATGTGTGTCAATGGTTCTCTTAAAACCAGGCTGCCATTAGGCTGCCAGTTATAATCTCATGTCTATTTGTTTTCAGCCATTTATTTATTTTTAATATATTTTACAAACTATTCTAAAAATACGAGTTCCAGGTATATTAGTAAAGAAACAACACAGCTGATTACAAGTGGGAGACAGCTGGAAGAGCCTATTACACGCGCAAGGGCCAAATTGATTAATGGCATATAAAAGCAGAGATCTCTGTAACGGTAGTTTAATACTCTGACGTTGTCAGCAGATGGCTGACGAAAGCTTAGTAAAATAAAATTGTAATTCTTTTAAAATTTTAAAATTTCCCAGCTGGCTTTCATGCTTAAGGCAGGACTAGAACTCACCATCTCCTGGCTACTGGGCCAAAGCCTCCCAGGTGGTTTTCATGTCTAAGGCGGGACTAGAACTCACCATCTCCTGGTGATTATTCCAAAGTCGCCCAGCCAGCTTTCATGCCTAAGGTTGGGGACTAGAATGCAGAGTCTTCCAGATTGTGTCTTTATTTGGTCAACAGAATTTAAAAAGAAAAACTTCAAGTGTTTAAACTTCTAAGGGGGAGAGCCTTCTCTGTGGGGGCCCCTGCCCTCTGGAATGAATTACCCCCGGACATACGAAGGATCCCCGACCTCCGCGCCTTCCGTCGTGCAGTGAAGACCCTGTTATTCGAGCAAGCCGCTCTGATGGGATAAATGATTTTAATTTGGACTTAATGGGGTTTTAAAATGAGAGTTTTAAATTTGGCCCATGATTGAATTATTTTAATCTGCTCTTAAATTCTATTTTTGTACATTGTTTTTATTATGGCTGTTCACCGCCCTGAGTCCTTCGGGAGAAGGGCGGTATATAAATAAAATAAAATAAATAAGGGAAATTACAAAGAGCCAGGAAGTGACTGACTTCTCATCTATGAGTTTAAATAAATGGCTTCTTTTCTGTCAATCTGACTTTCCTCAATAGGAATGCCGTATGGAAGCCGGGAAAATTCTCTCCTATATTCGGAGATTCCCAAAAAGGTACGGAAGGAAGCCCTCCTGCTGTTGTCATGGAAGCAGATGCTGGATCATTTCCAGGTGAGAACACCTGCGCGGGTGGCCCTCGGGTGTTTCAGCCAAATCAGGACTCGGGACACAGGTAGTCCTCGCTTAACGACCACTTTTGGGATCTGCAACTCCATTGCTAAGCAACATAGTCATTAAACAAGGCATCACGTGACTGTCGCAAACTTAACAATGTTACTTTTTTCCATGGTCATTAAGCAAAACATTGGTTTCTGCATTGACTCTGCTTAACAGAAGCTGCTTAACAAGCATGGGAGGAAGATCACGTGACCGTGGGAAAGTTACTTTGTAGCTGTGGTCGCTAAATAGGACCATCGTTAAGTGAGGACTACCTGTAATGTCCTTTATTTAAAAAGGAAATGCTTTAATTTCTTGGGCCCCTCTGAATCCACGCCAGGGCTCCGTTCCTTCATCCCATCGGTTCTTTCTTTCTGCCCCAGGCAACAACTTGGAATCGTCACTAAATAGGGCTGTTATTGAGGACTACCTGTATTGTCCTTTATTTAAACGGAAATACATTTATTGCTTGGGCCCCTCTGAATCCACACCAGAGCCCCATTCCTTCGTCCCACCAGTTTTTTCCCCCCTCTCACCCAGGCAACAACTTGAAAAGACACTAAACAGGACCGCCGTGAAGCGAGGACTACCTGTAATGTCCTTTATTTAAAAGGGAAATGCTTTAATTTCTTGGGCCCCTCTGAATCCACGCCAGGGCTCCTTTCCTTCACCCTGCCGGTTCTTTCTCTCCGCCCCAGGCGACTCCACACCACGGGATGTACTCCAGGAGGAAGAGCTGCTGAGAACGGAAGCGCCTCGGGGTTTTCGGGATCACCTCCTACGACTTCCACCGAGAGAGCGGCCTCTTCCTCTTCCAGCCAGCAACACCTCTTCTACTGTCGAGACGGAGGCCAAAATGGCTTCATGGTGAGCGTTTCCACCGCAGGATATTCCCTTCCTTAACAGCCCTTAGACTTCTATATCGCTTCACGGGGATTTTACAGCCCCTCTCTCTCTCTCTAAGCGGTTACAGAGTCAGCATATTTTGCCCCCGACAATCTAAGTCCTCATTTTACCGACCTCGGAAGGACGGAAGGCTGAGTCAATCTTGAGATAGTCAAGATCGAACTCCTGGCAGTGGGCAGAATCAACCTGCAATGCTGCATTCTTACCACTGGGCCACCAGGACTCTTGGGAGGGAGGGAGGGAGGGAAGTAGGAAGGAAGGAAGGAGGAAGGAAGGAAGGAAGGAAGGAGGAGATATACCGCTTTACGGTGCTTTACAGCCCTCTAAGCAGAGTCAGCATATTTGCCCCCAACAATCTGGGTCCTATTTTACCGACCTCAGAAGGATAGAAGGCTGACTCAACCTTGAGCCAGTCAGGATCGAATTTCTGGCAGTCGGCAGAATTAGCCTGCAATGCTGCTTTCTAACCGCTGCGCCACCACAGCTCTTGAAAATCTTATTGCAAAGTGCCCGAATGTTGATGATCATGTGACCGTGGGGATGCTCTAATCATTGTAAATGTGACGACCAGTCATAAAAAAGACACTCTTTATAACTTAACAGCCGTTAAACAAATGGTTGTAAGTTCAGGAGTATCTATAAATGATCAGTTAAAAGGCAATTTATTTGGCTCCAGGTCTCTCCTATGAAGCCGCTGGAAATCCAGACGCAATGCTCGGGACCCAGGATGGACCCCAAAATCTGCTCAGCGGACCCTTCCTTCTTCTCGTTCATCAACAACAACGATCTGTGGGTGGCGAACATCGAGACGGGGGAAGAGCGGCGCCTGACTTTCTGCCAGAAAGGTACGCTGTCCAGGCCTTGGCAGGATGTTTCCTCACCCGGAAGGCAACGGAAGCTTTGGTTTCAGTGCGTGGATGCGCAAAAATAGTTCACACCGGATGGCGTCTTGTTTCTCTGAAGCCTTCCGGGGATTGTTTTATTTATTTAGGAAATGTGTATAGATCCATACATAACTAACAACAATTTATAAGCAACAATATAAAGTACCCCCATAATATAAGAGTGCCAATTTGGTCTAGTGGTTAAGGCACCAGGCTAAAAACAGGAGCAGGTGAGTTCTAGTACTGTCTTAGGCATGAAATCCGGCTGGGTGACTTTGGGCCAATCACCAGGAGACAGTGAGTTCTAGTCCCGCCTTAGACATGAAAGCCGGCTGGGTGACTTTGGGCCAATCACCAGGAGAGAGTGAGCTCTAGTCCCGCCTTAGACATTAAATCCGGCTGGGTGTCTTTGGGCCAATTACCAGGAGACTGTGAGTTCTAGTGCTCCCTTAGACATGAAATCTGGCTGGGTGATTTTGGGCTAATCATCAGGAGACAGTGAATTCTAGTCCTGCCTGGGTTATGAAAACTGGCTGGGTGACTTTGGGCCAGTCCCTTTCTCTCAGCCCAACCCACCTCACAAGGTGGTGGTTGTAGGGAAAATAGAAGGTGGAAAGTATGTGTGCCACTTTGAGTTATTTATAAAGTAATAAAGGGATTAAAATCAGGATGGATGGATGGATGGATGGATGGATGGGCAGATAGACAGAGATAGGTGGATGGATGGATGGTTGATTGGCTAGATCAGTGATAGCTAACCTTTTCGCCATCGCGTGCCAGGACGGGGGGCGGGGGAGGTTCGTGCGCGCGTGTGCCCACACCCATAATTCTGTGCGCCTCTCTAGGAGTCTCAGGAGGCTGGGGACAGCAAAAAACGTCACTTCCTGTCCAACCGGAAGTTGGAGGGGGTGGGGAAGGCTGTTTTCGCCCTCCCCAGATGCATAGAAAGGGTCTGGAGCCAGGTGAGAAAGAAAAACACCCCCCCTCCCCGCCCGAGGCCCTCCAGAGGCAGGAAACAGCCTGTTTCCCTACTTCTGGTGGGCCCAGAAAGTCCGAAAACCAGCCAGCTGGCACGTGCATGTGCGTCAGAGCTGAGCTGGCGTGCCCACTGATATGGCACGCGTGCCATTGGTTCGCCATCACGGGGCTAGATGGATAGCGATGGTTGCGTAGAGATGCATAGATAAAGGAATTAGAGGTTAGATGATAGAATAACGGATTGAGAGAAACATTGTGAGAGATTTGATTGATTGCTAAAGGGGAAGGGGAAGCTTTTCTGTGCCGGAGACCCAAGACCAAGGCACGCTTTGTGAAGGTGTGTACGAATTAAATACCTTGTTTACATGCACCCCTCCAAAACAAAAGGACAATTTTGGTTCTTCCTCCCTTTAAGTACTGTATCCCTTTGAGACTTTTATCTGACCTGTAGGTGGGACCTCATGTCTAACGTTCACACTGAACCTGGGTTTATTTTCCAACTGAGATGCCCTGCAGAGTAGATCACCTGCATGTAGAGGTAGTATTCTGCTGGTTCGTACCAGTTTGTGTGAACCGGTAGCGGAGATCGCGGGTGGGGCTGCCCCCCCCTTCCGCCCTGGCTCTATGTCGTCCTATTTAGGGATGTTTTTGAGGCCGGTCGCATGCGCGGGAAGGCATATGCGCAAAGCGGGCATGTACGCGCACAGCAAACCGGTGAAACCCACCGCTGCCCGTATGCCAAAAGTGCATACAATCTCTCAAGCTGAGCCGATGGGAAGCTGGGAATGACCAACAACAATACAACATGACACAACAGCCGCTTAAATAGCAAATTCTTTTTTTAATTATTATTATTATAATAACATAAAATGACATTACAAGACATACATTTACATACATACAACATACATACATATAATATATATATATATATATATATATATTATATATATATATATACTCTCTTAACAGCTATTTTGTGATGATCTTCTAGTTTTTTTTTTGTTTTTTTGTTTTTTTTTAATTTGATTTATATGCCGCCCTTCTCCGGAGACTCAGGGCGGCTTACAATGCGCTAAGCAATAGCCTTCATTCTTTTGTATATTTTATACAAAGTCAGCTTATTGCCCCCACAATCTGGGTCCTCATTTCACCTACTTAGAAAGGATGGAAGGCTGAGTCAACCTTGAGCCTTGGAGAGATTCGAACCAGCAGAAATTGCAGGCAGCTGTGTTAATAACAGGGTGCACTAAACCCCTGTACTTTCTCCCTTTTCCCTTTAGATTATTCCAGTTTCTTCTTGTCCCCTCTCTTTTAATTACAGTGTATTTATTAAGATCCCTATTAACTTTATATTTTCTATACATTGACATAATCATTTCCTTTTTTACATTTCACCCCTATTTTTCTTCTCCGTTATTTCTATTCCTATCCTCCAGCCACTTTATACCATCTGTGCCAGATTATATAATATTCCGTATCCTCTTTTTCTTTAAGCTCTTTTGTTAATTTATCCATCTCGGCACATTCTAAGATTTTTTTAATCAACTCTTCTTCTGTTGGTATATTTTCTTTTTTCCAATTTTGTGCATATACCATACGGGCCGCTGTTATAATGTGTAAGATTAAATATTTTATTTCCTCGGTAAATAGCAAATTCTTATGATTCTGAGACACGGTTTGAAGCTTTGGCGCACTTTTTCCCAGGGCTCCCATAATCTCTGAATAAACACGGGTGGTCCTCGAGCCACGACAGTTCATTTAGTGACCATTTGAAGTTAAGAACGGCACTGAAAACAGTGGTTTAGGACTCTTTCTCACACTTAAGGACCGTTGCAATATCCCCATGGTCGCACGATCAAAATTCAGACGCTTTGACAACTGACACGTATTTACGACGTTGGCAGCATCCCGGGGTCCTGGGCTCACCTTTTGAACAGCAAAAGTCAATGGCGAAGCCAGATTCACTTAACAACGGTGTTACTCGCTTAACCTTACGGATGCCGTTAACACCTGTTCCTAGGAAGGTCGTAAAATGGAGCAGACCTCACTTAACAGCCGCCTGCCTTTGATATCAGAGGAGATTGCTGTAATTTGAAGACTATCTCTAGAAGGCAACAATATTTGGGTAGCTTAACCTAGTTGAGGGTTTTAAGGCACTTGATCTAAGGAGCCTCACAGTTATTTTTTTCCCCAGGTTTATCCAGTGTGCTAGACGATCCTAAGTCAGCCGGTGTGGCCACTTTCGTCATCCAAGAAGAATTTGATCGCTTTACAGGTTACTGGTGGTGTCCAACGTCTTGCCAAGAAGGTACGTGGTCCAGGCTGCCCCCTCCAAGCAGCTGCTTTCTTCTCACCACTGAATTAAGATCTGAATGATCCCCACAACCACGTGTCAAAGCTACTTGGTAGGGCTTTACAGGTATTCCTCGATTTATAATGGTTCATTTAATGACCATTTAAGGTTACAATGACGTCAGCCTCTTGCCCCCATAATCTGGGTCCTTTTTTTTTCTTTTGTAAATTTTTTTTTATTTTTTTTTAAGACAAACATACATTTTTTCTGAATAGAGTATTGACCGAGTCAAAATTCATACAGCTTATTTTCCCCAAATTTGATTAATATATTTCAGTTTCTGCCATTGTATTCCTTTTCTACTTTTCCCTTTTTCATCTCTATTTTATATTTAATATATAATCAATATTACCATCCGCCATCTTAATCTTATTTCATTTCATTCTTTTATTTCTCCCTTTATCACATATCTTTCAATATTTCTTTATTCTATTGAAACCCTATAATTTACACACAATCCTTTTTTTTAATATTTCACACTTATTTCTTAATCTCCATTGTTTTCTAAAGATGGGCCAGGTTATCATGTCTTATTTCCGTATTAATCATTTTATCATTTTAACAATATATTTCTTCAAATTTGCTTCCCACCTCATCTTTTTAAAATAAAAATACCTTATTCCATTTCAATTTCACTCAAATTTCCATTTCACCTTCTAAATAAATCCCTTCTAAATAAATCATTTTATATTTCACAATTTATATCATTATATCCAATCATAAACCTATCTTCCATTTCATTTAAATTTCTTTTCATTTTATATTTCACAATTTTATCATCATTTCCAATCATCTTCTCTTCTAATAATCTGGGTCCCTGTGTGTGTGTGTGTATGTACAAGATGTATATACATCTTGTGTTTCTATGTATGTATTTGTATACACATGCACACCAGATGTATCTAAATATATATATAGGTAATATGTATATGGGCATGTGTATGTCTATATAGTTTGAGAGCAGGCATTGTATTTTCATTTTAATATGTGCCATTATGTACCCAGAGAAAATGACAATAAACTTTATATTTTCCCTTATCTAATAACCTTCCTCCTAATCCTCCTACTTGGCTGATTTCCATTTAGGGCCCGAAGGCTGGAAGACATTGCGAATTCTGTACGAGGAAGTCGATGAATCTGAGGTGGAGGTGATTCACGTCCCTTCACCGGCCCTGGAAGAAAGGAAAACGGACACATACCGGTATCCCAGAACAGGTCAGTGGGGGATGATGGATGGAAGGAGAAGAAAGTTATAGTTAAGCCTAACAGAACTGGAAGGGATGTCTATATGTCCACATGCAGTCTGTATGCAGGCTGGCATATAGAACATAGAATAAAAGAGTCAGAAGGGACCTTGGAGGTCTTCTAGTCCAACCCCCTGCTCAAGCAGGAGACTCAAACCATTTCAGACAAATGGTTGTCCAGTCTCTTCTTCAAAACCTCCAGTGTTGTAGCATTCACAATTTCTGGAAGCAACTTATTCCACTGATTAATTATTCTACCTATTAGGAAGCTTCTCCTTAATTCCGGGTTGCTTCTCTCCTTGATTAGTTTCCATCCTTTGCTTCTTGTCCTGCCTTCAGGTGCTTTGGAGAATAGGTTGACCCCCTTCTTCTTTGGGGCAGCCCCTCAAATGTTGGAACATTTTCTATCATGTCATCCCTAATTTTTGTCTTGGATAGAGTTGGCATACCTAGTTCCTGCAACCATTCATCATAGAGTTTAGCCTCCAATCCCCTAATCTGCTTGTGGGTGTCTGAAATATTTCTAGAGCCTCAACATCTTTTTTGTTATTTATTTATTAGTTTGATTTATATATGCCGCCCTTCTCCGGAGACTCAGGGCGGCTTACAATGCATTAAGCAATAGCCTTCATACTTTTGTATATACCTGCTTAGTAGGGCTTTTTGGGGGGCCCCCGAGCGGTGTTCTATTTTATACAAAGTCAGCTTATTGCCCCCACAAACTGGGCCCTCCTTTTACCTACCTCGGAAGGATGGAAGGCTGAGTCAACCTTGAGCCTGGTGAGAATTGAACTCGCATTAATTGCAGGCAGCTGGCAGCTAAGTACTATTTTAACAGCAGCAGTTTAGTCCACTGCGCCATCAGGCTCTTATGCTTTTGTGACCCTCACCAATTTGGAGTAATCTAACCATGGCTTATAGGGATGGGGTGGCTCAGTGGCTAAGACGCTGAGCTTGTCGATCAGAAGGTCGGCAGTTTGTATCCCTAATGCCATGTAACGGGATGAGCTCCCATGACTTGTCCCAGCTTCTGCCAACCTAGCAGTTCGAAAGCACTTTAAAAATGCAAGTAGAAAAAGAGGGACCACCTTTGGTGGGAAGGTAACAGCGTTCCGTGCGCCTTTGGCTTTGAGTCATGCCGGCCACAGGACCACGGAGACGTCTTCGGACAGCGCTGGCTCTTGGGCTTTGAAACGGAGATGAGCACCGCCCCCTAGAGTCGGGAACGACTAGCACATATGTGCGAGGGGAACCTTTACCTTTAATCATGGCTTTTCCATGGTGGGACGTGATACCCTTAACTGAGTATTGTGAGGAGGGAGGAGCATACAGTTAAGACATCATATTGTGCACCAGATAGGATTGTGGATAAAATTGGATTATCTACTTAGGGGCCCCCTTGTCAGGGGCAAAGAAATTAATCTGAGTGAGTAGAACTTTTTTTTTTTTCTCCCTTGATGGGGGAAACCCCCCCCCCCACCTAAATGCAGATGTCAAAGCTTCAAATCACTATATTTTGCATCTCTTTATTATATCTCCATTTCAGGCAGCAAAAATCCCAAAATCTCGTTAAAGCTAGCAGAGTTTCAAACCGACAGTCAAGGAAAGGTGAGTATAACCTGTTTGGCTCTGATATGGAAGCTTTGATTTTTACACTTTATCTTAGGCCCTGCTTGACTTTTTCCAACCAACTCTTTAAAAAATAGAGACTAGGACAGAGAATCATAGAGTCAAAATAGGGCTGGAAGGGACCTTGGAGGTCTTCTAGTCCAGCTCCTTAGCCAAGGAAGGAAGCCTTTTATACCATACTGGACAGAGATGGGTTTCAGCAGGTTCTGACCAGTTCTGGAGAACTGGTAGCGGAAATTTTGAGTAGCTCGGAGAACCGGTAGTAAAAATTCTGACTGGCCCCGCCCCCATCTATTCTCTGCCTCCCAAGTCCCAGCTGATTGGGAGGGAATGGGGATTTTGCAATAACCTTCCCCTGGAGTGGGGACGGAATGGAGATTTTACAGTATCCTTCCCCTGCCACGCCCACCAAGTCCCTTTCTTAGTGGCTTTTGGGGAATATTAATTAATATTGAATCTTGCATTCTGCCTTCTCCCCCTGCCTATTTCAGTGTGTTTTAGGGAGAAAATTGGGGCTGTAACTCTGCTTGTGTCATTTAAAAATTAAAAAAAACAAAACACCAAAACAACCTCAGATCTCATTTGGTTAATTTCTTTGGGCAAATCTTCCATCTTCTTTTTTTTTTTTTTAAATTAAATCATTAAATAAAATTAACTACAACTATCCGGATGATGATAACAATTGTTTTCTCTAGATGTTCTTTTTACTGTATTGGGTTTTTTCTTGGTTGGAATGTATTCATTTGCGTCCTGCCTTTATTATTTTAATTGCGTATGCTTTTAATTGTATATTTTGTGTCACCCGAAGTAGTTATGGAGTTGGATGGCTTATAAAAGCGACTTTGTAAAATAATAACCAAATAAAAACGAAAGTGCCTTCATCAATGAAGGAATGAAAAGGAAGTTATTGTTTTAATTTTTTTAAAAAAACTAAGTAATTTGCTTGAATCAGTCATTTAATTAAGTTGGATTTATAGAAGTTACCCAACCCCGGTGGAAATGTGCATGTTGTTTCTGCTTTGGTGATAACTTTCTTGCAAAGATGTGTACTTTTTGCGATATCCATAACTTTCTCCGGTTACATTTTCAACCTTCCCCCCCCACCTGAATATTTGCAGATCGTTCATGCCAGCGACATGGAGCTGGTCCACCCCTTTGCTACCATGTTCCCCAACGTGGAGTATATTGCGCGAGCGGGTTGGACCCGAGATGGCAAATAGTAAGTATCTGTGTAGTTGAGATGGAGACAGCTTGCTACCTTATCCCAGGTTAGAGTATTTGTGCATTTCGATCAATATCTGAGTAAGGGGGTCCTTGGTTCCTCTGTGAGTTTGGTGGGTTTTTTTTTTTTTTGCAGATGTTTCATTATCTAAACTAGGTTAATAAGAGAAGCACTGATAATGTTACCTAGTTGGGTAATGAAATGTCTACAAGAAAACCACCAAGCTCAGAAAGCATCAAAGACCACACAGTCCTTGTTGTCTTCTTCTTCCTCCTCTTCCTGTTCTCCTTCTTCCTCCTCTACTTCCTCTTCTCTTTCTTCCTCTTCTTCTTCCTCCTCCTCCTCCTCTCCATACACCCCGTTCCCTTCTACCACTGATGATGTTACCTAGTTGGGTAATGAGACGTCTGCAAGAAAACCACCAAGCTCAGAGAGCACCAAGAACCCCTTATTTCAACCCTGAGCTACAAATATCCTCCTTCATCAACATTTTGGGTGTCTGGATCATGGTTTCCCGACATCTGTGGCTGCTCCGTCCTGCCCTGCTCCCAAGCTGCCTGCCTTTTGAATTTCAGATGCTAGTGATTAAAGATGCGGAAAGTTGAATTTAAAAAAAAAAATGGGAAAAGCTGTGCCAGAGGAATTTGAGACATAAACCCTGAGTTCAGTTTATGACAAGGATCCCCAAACTTGTCAACTTTGAGGCCTGTGGACTTCAACTCCCAGAATTCTGGGAGTTGAAGTCCACAAAACCTTAAAAGTTGCCACATTTGGAGGCTCCCATGGTTCACGGCATTCCTCGGCCGTGCTCCTAAGGATCGGTGTGCAATTGCTCCCATTGGTTTTTCCTGCTCACAACCTTTCCTTTATTTATTTATTTATTTATTTATTGGTTCGATTTATATGACGCCCTTCTCCGGAGACTCAGGACGGCTTACAATGCGTTAAGCAATAGCCTTCATACTTTTGTATATACCTGCTTAGTAGGGCTTTTGGCCCCCCGAAGCGGTGTTCTTTTTTTATACAAAGTCAGCTTATTGCCCCCACAAACCGGGTCCTCATTTTACCTACCTCAGAAGGATGGAAGGCTGAGTCAACCTTGAGCCTGGTGAGATTTGAACTTGCAGTAATTGCAGGCAGCTGGTGCTATTTAACAGCACTTTAGTCTGCTGTGCCACCAAGGCTCTTTTCCCTCCTTCTCCCTCTTCCCCGCAGCGCATGGGCCATGTTCCTCGACAGACCTCAGCAGCAGCTCCAGCTAGTCCTCTTCCCTCCCGCCCTCTTCATCCCGGTACCGGAAAACGAGGAACAGCGCCTGGAATTTGCCAAAGCCGTGCCCGAGGACACCCATCCCTTCATCGTCTACGAAGAAGTCACCAATGTCTGGATCAACGTAAGGCTCAGATCAACGGGCTCAGATATGGGGCCTTTTCTCACTTATAATCCCTCCCCTCCCCCAGATTTTCTCATGCTCCCCATTCTTGCCTGTAGAGATTCTCAGTCATCCCAGGTCACAGTTGTCCCAATGGTGCTTTCTTTCAGGAGGCAACTGGACTTTCTTGTTTTTCCTTTTGAAGACGTTTCGCTTCTCCTCCAAGAAGCTTCTTCAGCTCTGACTGGAAGGTGGGGAATGGAAGGATTTGTACTCCTTGCAGACAGCTGGTCATTTGCATCCTTTCAGAGGGTTGTTGAGGCCACTTGGAGGTTTTTCTGTGTTCTCAGGGTCACCTGAGTGTTTTGTTTGTTTTTGTTTTGTTTTTGTTTTTATTAAATTTTTATACCGCCCTACTCCTGAAAGACTCAGGGCGGTGAACAGGCACAGAATAAAATACATAGATACAAAAGTTAGAAACATAATTAAAACCAGATTAAATAATTTAGCCCGAGACAATTAAAAATCGCAATAATTTAAAACAGATTAAAGTTTCGATTTAAAAGAATTTTTAAAAACAGGGGAGAAAATTAGGCCAGGCCGGCTTGCTGGAATAGGAGGGTCTTAAGAGCACGGCGGAAAGTGTGCAGATCCGGGATCCTCCGTATCTCTGGGGGGAGCTCATTCCAGATAGTGGGTGCCCCCACAGAGAAGGCCCTCCCCCTGGGGGCCGCCAGTCGGCATTGTTTGGCTGACGGCACCCGGAGGAGCCCCTCTCTATGAGAGCGTATCGGCCAGTGGGAGGCTGTTTGTGGTAGTAGGCGGCCCATAGGTAACCAGGTCCTAAGCCATGGAGCGCTCTAAAGGTGGAACCCAAAACCTTGAAGCGCGCCCGGAAGACCACCGGGAGCCAGTGCAGCTCGTGCAGGAGAGGTATCACACGGGAGCGCCATGTTGCTCCCATAACCACCTGCACGGCCGCACTCTGTGCCAGTTGGAGCCTCTGGGTGCTCCTCAAGGGGAGCCCCATGTAGAGAACGTTACAGTGGTGCTCCTGGTTCCTGTAGTCTGCAGTTTTTTCCCTCTGGAAATCCATTCCTACTCCCACACCATTCCTCCCAGACAGCTGGTCGTCTGCATCCTTTTAGAGAAGGCGTGTCAAACTGGATTTCTTCAAGGGCCGGACCAGCATTGTGGTTCTCTGCGGGCCGGCCGCCAGGGTGGGGATGGGTGGGGGGGAGACAAGACAGGACGGAGGGCTCCTGCAGCACCACATGCGGGGCCCCCGCACCCCGTTTTGGCTGGCAGGGTGGAACAGGGGGCCATCCAGGCCAAAAACATGGCACGGGGAGCACACGACCCCCCCCCCCCCGGGTACCATTTTGGCTGCCAGAGGCACTGTGGGCTAGTCCTTTGCTATTTCCAGACCAGCCCTGCGGGCCAGGTTTAAGCACCCCATGGGCTGGATCCAGGCCGTGGGCCTTGAGTTTGACATCATTGTTTTAGAGCAGTGGTTCTCAACCTTCCTAATGCCACGACCCTTTAATACAGTTCCTCATGTTGTGACCCCCCAACCATAAAATTATTCCTAAAACCACTGAAAATACGTGTTTTCCGATGGTCTTAGGCGACCCCTGTGAAAGGGTCGTTCGACCCCCCAAAGGGATCACGACCCACAGGTTGAGAACCACTGTTTTAGAGGTTCATTGAGGCCACTTGGAGGTTTATCTGTTTCTCAGGGAATGGTGTGGGAGTAGGAACGGATTTCCAGAGGGAAAAAATTGCAGACCACAGGAACCAGGAGCACCACTCAGGTGACCCTGAGGACACAGAGAAACCTCCAAGTGGCCTCAACGACCCTCTGAAAGGATGGAAATGTCCAACTGTCTGCAAGGAATTTCAATCCTTCCGTTCCCCACCATCCAGTCAGAGCTGAAGAAGCTTCTTGGAGGAGAAGCAAAACGTCTTCAAAAGAAAAAACAAGTAAAAACCAGTTGCCTCCTGAAAAAAAAGCACCTCTGGGATCCCCGTCTTGAGAAGACGTGTGAAGCCGGATTCACTCAACAACCATGTAACTCACTTAACAACTGCACTGGTTCGCTGAACAACGATGGCAAGATAGGTCGTAATACGGGGCAAAGCTCACCCAACAACTGTTGCCCTCCTCCTCCCGATCACGGCATGTTTAAACAGATGGTACTCAGCACCTTCTGTCGTTTTTGTCTCCCCGGGCAGGTCCATGACATCTTCTACCCTTTCGCCCAGTCAGAGGAGAAAGAGGACGAGCTGACTTTTCTCCGGGCGAATGAATGCAGGACGGGCTTCTGCCACCTGTACAGAGTCACAGCCATCCTGCAGCGCAAGATGTACGACTGGACTCAGCCGTACGTGCCTAGCAAAGGTGAGAGCTGGAAGCGCTTGGACCTTCCTTCCCATGTAATTCTTGGGATGTGGAAAGGATGAACATCCCACTCCTTTCTAGCACTGATGGTATTTCCTAGTTGGGTCATGAAACGTCTGCAAGAAAATGACCAAGCTCAGAGAGCAGCAAGGACCCCACAGTCCTCCTCCTCTCCTCCTCTTCCTCCCTGCAAATCCCACTCCCTTGTAGCTCTGATGATGATACCTAGTTGGGTCATGAAACGTCTGCAAGAAAGCAACCAAGCTCAGAGAGCACCAAGAATTCCACAGTCGTCGTCGTTGTCCTCGCAAATCCCACTCTTTTGTGGCACTGATGATGTTACCTAGTTGGGTAATGAAACGTCTGTAAGAAAATAATCAAGCTCAGAGAGCACTGATCCCAGTCTTGAATATTTTAATATACCATCACTTCCTTACAAAGCTTTGTTTACATTGGCTCATTGAAAGAAGTGGGTTTTTTTTCATTCTTGCTTGTTTTTTTTTTAACAAATTAGTTTCAATAGATGCTGAACATTTTGTGTATGTATATACCGTATTTTTCAAAGTATAAATTTGAACCCCCTAAAAGAGGCTGAAAATTTGGGTGTGTCTTGTACTCCAAATGTAGCTTTTTTGAAGCTTTTTTCCAGCCCTAACTAGGCCCTAACTAGGAGTGAAGCGATCTCCCTCCGTGCTTTGCCTGCTTTTCTCATTGCTGCTTCCTCTCAGCTGTGCCTTAGAAGCTGTTTTTTATCCCCAAGCAGGGGATAAAAAAACCAGCAAACTAATGTGCTGAAGCCGACCAGACTAAGGACGCTAGCCAGATGAATACTTGGTAGGCAGATTTTTTTCCCCCTATTTTTCTCCCTAAAAACTAAGCTGCGTCTTATACTCTGAAAAATATGGTACATATATACATATATACACTTAACATATACACATACACACAAACATGCATTACTCTACTTACAACTCTTAATTGAACTTAGAATTGTGGTCATTTATTGAGTCACCACATGACTGCCTGATTTTACAAATTTTTGTGGCAGTCATTAAGTGAATGTAAAACGAATCCATTATACCCAATAGGCATTTTTTGCTGGGAAAAAAAGTGCCAAAAATCCCGTCATGCGACTTACGGGATGTTGCCAATGGCTGTAAACGTGAGCCTGTTGCCAAGCACCTAAAATACAATCTTGTGACAATGCGGGGAGTTGTGTGGCCGTTGAAATTTCGGAATTGCGAGGGGTTGGACTAGAAGACCTCCAAGGTTCCTTCCGCCTCTAGTCTGATTGAAACTGAAAAGTACATTTTTTGATGTGTGTGTCCATAATCAGGGTGGATAAAAATCAATGATTTTTTTTTTAAAATAAAAAAAAATCAGATTTTTTTGATTTAAATCGGATTTTTTTGATTTTTATCGAATTTATTTTAATAAAAAACTTTTGGGGTAAAAATCTATCGTAAGATAGTTTTCTATTTAAGATACATAAATAATTTAGTTTATTCCGCATGAAATGGAGCTTAGTTAGATAGCATGAGGCTGTATATTTGCAACGCTGGGACTATCGGTGAGTCAACAGTGGGTCAAAGGAGTAGCAGAGATGACAGTTGCTCTTTAAAAATTATGATTTAAATTGAGTTGATTTAAATCAAGCCTTTTTACTAGTGATTTAAATCATGATTTAAATTGTGATTTAAATCAACTCGATTTAAATCAAATCCACACTGTCCATAATAACTTCAAACAGTCACTAACTGACCAGTCATTAAACAACAATAAAAGCCATTAAGTACAGTTTTTTAAAAGTGGCAAGCGAAATAGCACCAGTTGAGAACGAGAAAACAACAATGTGAAGATGTTTTGCCAGCACTGTTGCAAAACGCGCACTTGCAAAATCCTCTTTCTGGGATTGCATGAATGTTGTGATCTAGCGGAAATACTTCTCGATCGGTGTTTGTTGTCTCTTTCTAGCTCACGAGGTTTCCTCTTGCTAGTGTTGTGGCCCGCCAGCGGCCAGCAGAGCTGGCCAGCAGACTCAGGACAGTGAGGAGGTTGGGGAGGAACATGGGCCAGTCCTGGAGTCTGGGGAAGGCTCTGATGAGGGCTCTACATCGGAGGCAGAGAGGGGGCCATGGCCGTCCAACAGTTAACAGCTACCTTTGGAGTCGGAGATAAGTGGGGCAGAAGAACAGCTGAACCTGTTACCGATGTGCGCATGCGCAGAGCTGTCAGGAGAAGGGAACAATTAAGGAACAGGTCAACTTCGGAGTAAAGGCACAAGGGGACGTTGAATGGCCCCTCCCATAGGGAATAAAGGAAGAGCCTTCTCTGTGGGGGCACCTACTATCTGGAACGAGCTCCCCCCGGAGATACGGAGGATCCCGGATCTGCGCACCTTCCACCGCGCTTTAAAGACTTTTTTATTTCACCAGGCGGGCCTGGCCTAATTTTCTCCCTCTTTTATAAAAGATTTTTAATTTTTAATATTTTTTAGTATTTTATATATTCAAATTTTAAAATTGGTTTTAAATTGATTGGGCTTTTAATTTGTCTGGGCCAAAACTATTTAATTTGATTTTAATTCCACTTTTAAATTTTGTATGTATGTATTTTATTGTTTGGCTGTGCACCGCCCTGAGTCCTTCGGGAGTAGGGCGGTATAGAAATCAAATCAAATCAAATAAATCAAATAAATAAATAGGACCAAAAGGGCAGCGGTGTTTGCAGGAGACAATTAGTTTATTAGTGTGAAGATTTGCTTATCTCAGTCTGTGCCTCACTGAGACCCCTTGCCAAGCATTTCATTGTACAGCAGTTGCGCCTATCGGACTAGCAACTGTCCAAAGACTGATAAGGTCTGTAGTTGCAATTCACCCTTGAAAGACTGTTTGCCGGGACTTTGCTGGATGTGAATGCTAGGAATTCACATTAGCCAAATAAAAAGGGGTTTTTTGGGGGGATAAGGAGTCTGTTTCGTGATTTGGTGAAGCCTAGGTCAGAACAGCTATCCCCCTCCTGAGCCTTTCAGAAAAAGGAGAATATTTGTAGCTCCGGGTTGAGATGAAGGGTCCTTGATATGTCCCCTGAGCTTGGTGGTTTTCCTGCAAATGTTTCACCACCCAACTCTGTAACATCATCAGTGCTAGAAGGCAATGGGTTTTGTGGAGAAGAGGAGGAAGACGGGGGTCCTTGATGCTCTTTGAGGTTGGTTGTTTTCTTACAGATGTTTCACGACCCAAGTATGTAACATCATCAGTGTTAGAAGGGAGCGGGGTTTGTGGAGTGGAGGAGAAGGAAAGGTGCAGGACCACAATGACAACTGTGGGATCTCTGCTGCTCTGTGAGCTTGGCTGTTTCCTTGCAGACATTTCATCACCCAACTAGGTAACATGATCAGTGCTGAGAGGGGATTGTGGTGTTTGCTCTATATTGTCAAGGTTCCAAGTAATAAATCCATAGCAAACAAAACTCCGAGGCAGGTAGATTCCTCAAAGAATAATTTTATTGGAATTATATTGGCCCATATCTGGTGAAAACCGACTCTGAAGTCTCCCGCAGCTTTCACCTAATTAAAAGTAAAAGTTTTTCTACTTTCTCAAAACAATCCGTCGCATGGTCCAATCACGGTGTGGACTGGCAGGCAGGTGGCATCACTCTGCCTTCCTCTGACCAGGTGTGAGAAAGTCCTTGGCTCCCAAGAGAAAGTATTTTGTTTTGACTACAGAATCCCCCTCTATCTCAAATCCCCCCCTCCCTATCCCTCAGCTCCAGTATGGCGACACTGAAGCGGTCAAAAATGGCTTCGGTCAGGTCAGCTTCAGGGTTGACATATATGCACCACCAGCTCAGACCGTCAATCAAATAGTAAACAGCAGCTTAATTGAGGAACTGCTAATGAGAAAACCACACAGTCACCAACACTGACAGGGCAAGCCACTTGTGTACAAACAGAGAGCCAATCCCACTCTTTTCTAGCACTGATGATGTTACCTAGCTGGGTCAGGAAACGTCTGCAGGAAAATAATCAAGCTCAGGGAGCACCAAGAATTTCTCCTTTCAGAAACGGGAAGTGTTCCCACTTCATTTTAGACCCACAGGGAGCAAAGCATCCTGTCCTGTTATAAGTGGGGGGGTCACAAACGGGAAGATGGACACTCCCAAGTGTTCTGCTCCCTTCGGCTTCGGCTTGAGGTGGGACAAATCCAGAGGTCTCCGTAGGTCTTTGGAAGATGGGATGATGGAAACTGGAGTCCGTCCAGCCAATTGCGGCTGGTGCGTTGCCCTCGCAGCTGATTTCAGGAAGCAGCTGTGAAATTGGGCCACCGTGTCCAACACTGTTCTGCCTTTTCAGGTGACTTCAAATGCCCTCTGAAGGAAGAAGTGGCCCTCACGAGTGGAGAATGGGAAGTTCTGGCCCGACATGGGTACAAGGTACGAAGTCTCTTCCTCCCCCAGTGAAAACTCCATTTCAGGTCTTTGCCGTCGCTTCTCTGGTTTCTGATTGATAGTCTCCTACTGCAGCAATTAGAGAGACAGATTAGTGTAGTGGTTAAGGTGCCAGGATAGATCCCAGGAGTCGCTGAGTTCTAGTTCTGCCTTAGGCATGAAAGTAGACTGGTGACTTTGGGCCAGTCACCAGGAGACGGTGAGTTCTAGTCCCGCCTTAGGCATGAAAGTCAGCTAGGTGACTTTGGGCCAATCACCAGGAGACGGTGAGTTCTAGTCCCGCCTTAGGCATGAAGGTCAGCTGGGTGACTTTGGGCCAATCACCAGGAGACGGTGAGTTCTAGTCCCGCCTTAGGCATGAAAGTCAGCTGGGTGACTTTGAGCCAATCACCAGGAGATTGTGAGTTCTAGTTATGCCTTAGGCACAAAATCTGGCTGGGTGACTTTGGGCCAATCACCAGGGGATGGTGAGTTCTAGTCCCACCTTAGGCATGAAAGCCAGCTGGGTGATTTTGGGCCAGTCACCAGGAGACAGTGAGTTCTAGTCCCGCCTTAGATATGAAAGTCAGCTGGGAGACTTTGGGCCAATCACCAAGAAACTGAGTTCTAGTTATGCCTTAGGCACAAAGTCTTGCTGGGTGATTTTGGGCCAATCACCAGGGGATGGTGAGTTCTAGTCCCACCTTGGGCATGAAAGCCAGCTGGTGATTTTGGGCCAGTCACTCTCTCTCACCCCAAGGAAGGTGGCAAGGACAAACGCCCTTTAAAAAAAAAACTTTGTCAAGACAACTGCAGGGACTCGTTCAGGCAGTCATGAGGAGACAAAAACTGACTCAAAGGCTCACACACACACACACACACACACACACACACACACACACACACAAATACCATTTTACTTTAGCAGACTTTTCTAATTGGTAACCCTTTTGCCGAAGAAGTGCCTTGGGCAGAATTACCGTTAATTGCAGGATTTATTTATAATTTGCAGACTCTGGGATCTTTTTGCAATTAAGCTAAGCGGGGGGGGGGGGTGTCCACAGGGCAGGTTCCCAAAAAGCCAGTTTTTGGCTGTGATCAAAACTGGTCCTGAGCTTTCAAGATGACACCACCACTGCCGTTTTCAACCCAACGGTGCAGATAACCGTCGAAGCTTAAAGATGTGTGGCTGAAATGATCGCGCGGGTTCTGCCTCCCATTATTCTTCATTTTTCACGTGCGCTCGGCCCACCCTCATCCTCTCTCTCCGTCTCTTTGTCTCTCCAGATTTGGGTCAACGAAGAAACGAAGCTGGTGTATTTCCAGGGCACGAAGGATACCCCTTTGGAACATCACCTCTACGTGGTCAGCTACGAATCTCCTGGTGAGGTCGTGCGACTCACTACCTTGGGCTTCTCCCATAGCTGTTCCATGAGTCAGGTCAGTTCCCCTGCGTCTGAAAGCCGACCTCTTGCAACCAGTCCATCCGGGTTAAAATGAAACCCACAACACCTTGGTAGTTTAGTTTAGTTTAGTTTTATTAAATTTGTATACCGCCCTACTCCCAAAGGACTCAGGGCGGTGAACAGGCCCAAGATAAAATACAGAAATACAAAAGTTAAAACAATTTAAAACCAAATTAAATAATATTGGCCCACGACAATTAAAATCCCAATAAATTTAAAACCAATTAAAATTTCAATTTAAAATTTTAAAAAGGGGAGAAAAATTAGGCCAGGCCGGCTTTCTGGAATAAGAGGGTCTTAAGAGCACGGCGGAAGGTGCGCAGAACCAGGATCCTCCGTAGCTAGGTGTTGGGGGGGGGGGGGTTCTCAGTCATCCATCTTAACGGTTGTCCCTAAAGTTGCTTTTTCAAAAGGCAGCTGGACTTTCTTCCTTGAACGAAGGCGAATGAATATACCGTATTTTTCCGTCTCTAAGATGCCCCCATGTTTCATGTAGAGCAGGGGTGGGTTCTAAATTTTTTTTACTACTGGTTCTGTAGGTGTGGCTTATTTTGTGGGTGTGGCTTGGTGGGAGGGTAATGTGACTGGGCATGGCCAACTTTTTTTCTTTTTTTTTACTTTTAAAACCTTAAGAGGTTGCCGAAAAAAATGCTTTTAGAAGCCACTGACGATCAGGCAACTCAGCTGGGATCGCCAGAGGCTTTTAAAGGAGGTTTTTTTTTTTTTTCCCTGCAACCTCTTCGGCTGAAGAGGTTGTAGAAAAAATGCTTTGAAAAGCCTCTGACGATCCCAGCTAAGCCGTGCGATCATCAGAGGCTTTTTTTACTTTTTTACTTTTTTTACTTTTAAAAGCATTTTTTCAGCCAAAGAAGTTGTAGAAAAAATGCTTTGAAAAGTAAAAAAAAAAAAAAAAAAAGCCTCTCGTGGTTTTGTGGGGTAAGTGAGCGGCGACCAGGCTGGGGACCAGTTTGGGGGTGTGGCCAGCCAATGTTATTACCGGTTCTCTGAACTACTAAAATTTTTTACTACTGGTTCTTGCGAACCGGTGCGAACCAGGAGCAACCAACCACTGATGTAGAGTAAGTAAATAAGCGCACTACAAGCCATCCCTGTGCAGAAGCCAACTTATTAGAGAGAGAGTAATACAAGAACAGGAAATGCATCACAGGAACAATAGAGATGAAACTTAGAGTGGCAATGTGATACAGGAAACAACTACAATAGAAGGAATGATAGAGCTGCATATAAGGTAGAGGCTCGTCAGCATGTGCAGCAGAGCTGGAGGACGGGGAAGGGCCACTCTTTCTCCTCTCGGCCTCCTGTGTATAAGACGCCCTTCCATTTTCCAGTAAATGAACTGTTGGAAGTCGAGGACTACCTGTATTCTCACCAGAAAATTCTTTCCAAAATAAATTTGCATGTCACCAGCAACCTGATCCTTTCGAGTTCAGGCTCCAGGGTATTCTGGGTGTTGAAGTTCTGAAGGATTCTGGGAGTTGAAGTCCACAAGTCTTAAAAGTCGTCAAGGCTAGATCCCGAGTGCTCTAATCTTTCTTCTTCATCTTTCTAAGTGATAGAAAGTCCCTACAGAGAGTGGTGAGGACAGTGGAGAAGATCATAGGAAGCTCACTTCCTGTTATTGAGGATGCTGCCTATAAGCATTACGTGCTTAGAGCTCAAAGGATTGTTAGAGACCCCACACACCCACTTTATGGTCTGTTTTTGTTGCTCCCCTCTGGGAGGAGGTTTCGAAGTATTTCTAGCAGGACTAGTAAATTCTGGAGCAGCTTTGGTTCTCTATGCTATCCGTCTGGCAAACTCTCGAGATTTGTTTCTCTTGCCATGTCTATGTATACATCCAAACTACTGCATTGTTTCTCTGTGCCATATAATATCTGTGGGTATATGCATAATTTCGTATTTATTTACTTATGTATTCAAAGTGACACTAAAGTTATTACTCCCTCTTCTCTCGCAGAACTTCGATATGTTCATCAGTCACTACAGTAGCGTCAGGACCCCTCCCTGTGTGCACGTTTACAAGCTCAGCGGCTCAGACGAAGACCCTCTTCACAAGCAGCCAAAGTTTTGGGCCAGCATGATGGAAGCAGCCAGTGAGTAAAATTTGGGCCCGGCGTCCACATTCAGCCACAGGGCACAGAGGTGGCCAAGCTTTGCCTTGCAGTCTTAGGGATAAGAGGTGAGCCAGCTTCTCTATGGAACTGGGGGGAAATTTGGGATTGACTGGTTCCGTCCCACCCTTTCTACTTGATGGACGTTAATTAATTCATTAAATTAAATTGATATAAAGATATATATTGCTACCCAACTCAAACATCGGTGACTCCAGGTGGCTTTAAAAATTCACCACATAAAAACCCCAGCTCCACCCTCTTCCTTCCTTTCTCTCTCTTTCTGTTGCTCCCTTTCTCTCTTTCTCATTCACTTTTTTTCTCTTTCTCTCCCTTTCTCTCCCTTCCCCCTTGCTCTCTTACTCTCTCTCTCTTTCCCTTTTTCTCTTTCTCTCTCTCCCTTTCTCATTCCCCTTCTTTCTCTTTCTCTCCCTTTCACCTTTCTCTCTCTCTTTCTTTCCCTTTCTTTCTCATTCCCTTTCTTTCTCTTTTTCTCTCTCTCTCCTTCTCTCTCTCTCTCTTTTTTTTAAAATTTGATTTATATGCCGCCCTTCTCCGGAGACTCAGGGCGGCTTACAATGTGCTCAGCAATAGCCTTCATCCTTTTGTATATTTATACAAAGTCAGCTTATTGCCCCCACAATCTGGGTCCTCATTTTACTTACCTTAGAAAGGATGGAAGGCTGAGTCAACCTTGAGCCTTGGAGAGATTTGAACTTGCAGTAATTGCAGGCAGCAGATGTAAGTGGATGTTAATTAGTCTGCTGAGCCAGCAGAGCTCTATTTCTAGTTCCCTTTCTCTCTCTTCCCCCTTTCTCTCTTTCTTTCTTTCTCTTTCTCTCTCTCTTTCTCTCTCTCTTTCTCTCTCTCTCTCTCTCTCTCTCTCTCTCTCACACACACACACACACACACACACACACACACACACCCTCTGTGACACAAATCAACCACTCAATGTGCTCCTTCTTTTCGTAGCCCCCAGACCCGCTAGGAAAACCACGTTTTTAGGGCCTTAGCAGAAAAGCAACAGTTTCAGTTTCAGTTTTATTAAATTTTTATACCGCCCTTCTCCCGGGAGACTCAGGGCGGTGTACAGCCAAGATAAAACCCACAGTATAAAAGTTAAAAACAATTTAAAATTATTAAATAGTTTTGGCCGATCATCTAAAATACAATAACCCATTAAAAATATTTAGGCCAGCCCTGCTTGATGGAATAGTAGCATTTTAAGGGCGTGGTGAAAGGTACGGAGGAAGGAAATCCGACGAATCTCCGGGGGCAGCTCGTTCCAGAGGGCAAGTGCCCCCACAGAGAAGGCTCTTCCCCTGGGGGTCGCCAGTCAACACTGTCTAACCGACGGCACCCTGAGGAGACCCTCTCTGTGGGAGTGTACTGGTCAGTGGGAGGCTATCGGAGGCAGAAGGTGGTCTCGTAGATATCCAGGTCCTGAGCCATGGAGCGCTTTAAAGGTGGTAACCAACACCTTGAATCGCACCCGGAAGACCACTGGGAGCCAGTGCAGCTCGCGCAGGAGAGGAGTCACATGGGAGCACTGAGTTGCCACATATCACCCGCACGGCCGCATTCTGGACCAGTTGGAGCCTCCGGGTGTTCTTCAAGGGGAGCCCCATGTAGAGAGCATTACAGTAGTCCAGGCGGGAAGTGACGAGGGCGTGAGTGACCGTGCGCAAGGCGTCCCGGTCCAGAAAGGGACGCAACTGGTGAATCAGGCGAACCTGATAAAAAGCCCCCCTGGCCACAGCCGTCATATGCTCTTCTAAAGACAGCCGTGAGTCCAGGAGGACGCCCAAGTTGCGAGCCCTCTCCGTGGGGGGCAGAGATTCGCCCCCAATAGTCAGCGATGGAACCAACTGACAGTGACGGGATGACGGGAACCACAGCCACTCAGTCTTGGAGGGGTTGAGCCTGAGCTTGTTTCTCCCCATCCAGATCCAGGATGGAGGCCAACCCTAGTTCCATAAAGAAGGAGCCACCACCGAGAAGGCCTCCTTTGCGTGGCAGTATTTACAGGCAGTCCTTGACTTACGGCCACAATTAAGCCCCACATTTTTGTTGCTCGGCGAAACATTTGTTGAGTGAGTTTTGCCTCATTTTACGAACTTTTGTGCCACCGTTGTTAAATGAACACCGCAATTGTGACGTTAGTAACATGGTCGTTAAGTGAATCCGGCTTCCCCCTTGACTTTGCTTGTCAGAAAGGCGCACAGGGGGATCATGTGACCCCCGGGAAGCAGCAACGGTCATAAATGTGAGTCAGTTGCCAAGCATCCAAATTTTGATTATGTGACCATGGGGAAGCGGCAACGGTCATAAATGTGAGTCAGTTGTCAAGCATCTGAAATGGAAAAATCATGTGACCATGGGGATGTTGCAACGGTCATAGGTGTGAAAAACAGTCACAAATCACTCTTTTCAGTGCTGCTGTAACTGAACGGTCACTAAATGAACTGTTGCAAGTCGAGGACTACCTGTATTGGGAGAACAACTCGAGCATTTTGGCTCGAAGAACCCAAATCTACATCTTCCTTAGAAGTTCCTTCTCTTTTCATGCCTGCAGAATGCAGTTAGTCCTCAACTTATAGCAGTTCATTTAGTGACGATTCAAACTTACAACGGCACTGAAAAAAGTGACTTATGGCCATTTTTTTTATACTTGCGACCCCTGCAGTATTACCCACAACATGGTCATGTGATCAGAATTTGGCTGTTTGGCAACTGGCTCGTATTTATGACGGTCACAGCGTCCTGGGGTCACCTCATCCCCTTGGGCGACCTTCTGACAAGCAAAGTCAATGGGGAGGCCGGATTCACTTAACAACCGTGTTTCTCACTTAACGACCGTGTTTCTCACTTAACGACTGCAGCAACTCGCTTTACAACTGTGGCAAGGAATGTCATAAAATGAGGCAAAACTCACTTAACCAATGTCTCCCTTGGCAAGATAAATAAATTCTGGGCTCAATTGTGGTCGTAAGTCAAAGACTATCTGTATTCAAAAAATGAGGAGAAACAACCTGGTTTATGCAGGGCCATTCACAGAGAAACTGTCCTGACCTGGCTCCCAAACACAACAAACCCTCTGTAGTTAGCTAAATATTTCCTTTATTAGGAGCGCCAGCAGTCCCAGCAAAAAGTCTCTCTCTCACACACAGCAGGCTAACAAGTCCGTCAGGCAGGGGAGATGAATAGTTGTCCGCCACACCTCTGACTATCATTAAGTGTTGTACTTTATGATTCTTGATGAACGTGTCTTTTCTTTTATGTACACTGAGAGCTTATGCACCGAAGACAAATTCCTTGTGTGTCCAGTCACACTTGGCCAATAAAGAATTCTATTCTGTTCTGTTCTGTTCTGTTCTATTCTATTCTATTCTATTCTATTCTATTCTATTCTATTCTATTCTATTCTATTCCATTCCATTCCATTCCATTCCATTCCATTCCATTCCATTCCATTCCATTCCATTCATCTCTGTCCCCTGCCTTTTATCCCCAGAGCTAGGGTGGCTCTTCCGTCCCAAGGACCAGTCCATAGATTTCCACTGCTCTCCTCTCCTCTGCCTTCTGCGCATCCACGTGTCAGGCACTGGACCCAGCTGCTCCTCCTCTTCCTCTTCAGCCACCTCCGGACCTGGAGGCTGTTGACTCTCCATCTGAGGGCTGATGGACGGCCCAGGCTCTGCCAGCTCCATTCCCTCTTCCCCCTCAGAACTCCCAGTTTGCCCTGATGCTGACCCTGACTCCCACGCCACCTCCTCCTCCTGATTCGGCTGCTGGAGGGTCTGGTGGCCGATAGGCCACAATGGCAACGTTGCATGTCCAGGTCATCTTCATTAGTGAGAAGGCACCGTGTGAGGATGAGCCGATGTGACTCTCCCCCTACTCTGCTTCCCGTGTTTTGCAGGCTGTCCTGCGGATTACATCCCCCCTGAAATCTTTCATTTCCGCACCCAGTCGGATGTCGAGCTTTACGGGATGGTGTACAAGCCACACGACCTCCAACCTGGCAAGAAGCATCCCACGGTGCTCTTTGTCTACGGGGGGCCTCAGGTAAGCGAGATTCTCAAGTCATCCAGATCATGGTTGCCCCAACGATGCTTACTGGACTTTCTGAAGACGTTTCGCTTCTCATCCAAGAAGCTTCTTCGGCTCTGACTGGATGGTGGGGAAATGGAAGGATTTATACTCCTTGCAGATAGCTGGTCATTTGCATCCTTTGAGAGAGTCGTTGAGGCCACTTGGAGGTTGACTCAATTTAGGGCACAAATAATAACCCTCCAGGTGGCTTCAGGGACTTTCTAAAACATGGGTGTCAAACACAATTTCATTGAGGGCTGCATCAGGGTTGTGGTTGACCTCGGGGGTGGTGGGAGCAACTGGGTGGGTGTGGCCAGCTTGACGCCCCTCACTGGGTGTGGCCAACTGGGTGGGCGTGGCCTGCATGACACCACTCCCTAAACTGCTGGCATGTTTCCTCTTTGCATTGGGTAGACAGGACCGGCCGCTTAACATTTTCCAGGATGACCCTGCGGGCCGGATCTGACCACATCAGATAGGGCTTGCTCTAAAAAGAATGCAAATGACCAGCTGTCTGCAAGGAGTATAAACCCTTCCATTCCCCACCATCCAGCCAGAGCTGAAGAAGCCTCTCGGATGAGAAGCAAAACATCTTCAAAGGAAAAACCAAAAAGTCCAGTTGCCTCTTGGGGGAAAAAAAGCACCTTTGGGGCAACCTTGGCAACATTTTCAAAATCCGGATTGCACAGGAAGTTGGATCCCCCCAAAGAGCTGCTTCCGTTAACAGATGGGTGCCTTGTCCGTCCCGTCCCCCCCCCCCCCCCCTTTCCTCTGCTCGTCTCCTAGGTCCAACTAGTGAATAATTCCTTCAAAGGGATCAAGTACCTGCGGCTGAACACGCTGGCGTCCCTCGGCTACGCCGTGGTGGTGATAGACGGGCGAGGCTCATGCCAGAGAGGCCTTAAGTTCGAGGGAGCTCTTAAGAATCAGATGGTAAGTTCCTGTCGTTATCTCCAGTCAGTGGATCTGGCCTCTTATTTTGCAATTCAGACCGGTTAACATATTACATTATTATTATATCAGTAAATGTTATGTTATCCTATTGATCTATATTCTCGTTGCGTTCTTTTTCCTTGTTTATTTTATCCTGCGGTTACAGGCAGTCCTCGATCACAATCGAGCCCAATACTGTGTTGTTAAGTGAGACATTTGTTAAGTGAGCTTTGACCCCCCCCCCCCTTTTACAGCCTTTTTTCCCCAGAGTTGTTAAGTGAATCCCTGTAGTTGTTCAGTTAGCCACACGGCCGTTAAGCGAATCTGGGTTCCCCGTTGACTTTGCTGATCGCAACGGGATCACGTGAGCTTGGGACACAGCAACGGTCATAAGTATGAACCCGTGATCAAACTTCAGATGCTTGGCAAAATGATTCATATTGCCAAGCATCTGAATTTTGATCACATGATTATGGGGCCGCAACAAAGGTCGTAAGTATGGGAAATCATCATAAGTCACTTTTTCCTGTTCCGGTGTAACTTTGAATGGTCCCTGAATGAACTGTTTTAAGTTGAGGACCACCTGTATTTTTACTCCTGTTCTCTTGATGCTCGTTTCATTTTCTTCCTTTTTATTCTAAGCCTCCTAGCGTAGCCTCACGGTGAGATACTCAGCAAATAAATTCAACAAATAAATAAAAAAAAATATTTATTTCCTAAAATAAATATTTCCTACGCTGTTAGCCGCCATTCCCTGCTTCCTTCTTCCACTGAGTTACAGGCAGTCCTCGGCTTTACGACCACAACGGAACCCAGTATCTCTTGTCGCTGAGTGAGACGGTTGTTAAGTGAATTCTGCTCCAATTTACAACCTTTCTTGCCCCAGGGGTTAAGTCAGTCACCGCAGTTGTTAAGTTAGTTGCATGGTTGTTAAGTGAATCTGGCTTCTCCATTGACTTGGCTTGTCAGAAGTCCGCAAAAGGGGGGACCATATGATCTCGGGACTCTGCGACCGTCATAAATACGAGCCAGTTGCCAAGCGGTCAGATTTTGATCCTATGACCATGGGAATGCTGCAGCGGTTATAAGTGGGAAAAATGGTCGTCCCTTTTCAGTGCCATTGTAACTACGAATAGTCACTAAATGAACTGTTATAAGTCCAGGACTCCCTTCCCTTCTTCCTTTCATAAAATGGGGCAAAATTCACTTAACAAGTGTCTCTTAACAACCGAAACTTGGGGCTCAACTGTGGTCATAAGTCGAGGACTACCTGTATCTCCATAGATTTTTGCTCCATGGCTGTCGGGAAATGGGGAAAACGACGATGATGATAGATAAAAATTATTCCAAACTCTCTTTCCTTTCCTTATATGTGCCTTTTGGTATAGGCAGTCCTCGATTTACGCCCACAATTGACGTTGCTAAGTGAGAAATTTGTTAAGTTGAGTTTGTCCCATTTTACGGCTTTTCTCTCCACATTTGTTAAATGAATTACCGTATTTTTCGGAGTATAAGACGCTCCTTAGTTTTTAGGGAGGAAAATAAGAAAAAATTCACCAGAGGTGAATTTTAGCAACAGGTTCCTTGGTTGTGAGCTCTGTGCCTGGCTTTTTTTTTTTGCTTTTTTGTCTGTCTCTGAAACTTCTGAAACTCCGATTCAGAAAAAACTTTTTTTCCTGCCTCTGAAAGCCTCCGAAACAGCTTCAGAAAAAAGGCCTCTGAAGCTCTGTTTGGGGGCTTCTTTTCTGAAGCTTCTTTCTTGATGCTTTTTTCAGCCTCTGAAACCTCCGCTTGAGAAGCTGGGCAGGGCTACATTCGGAGTATAAGACGCACCCAGATTTGCACCCTCTTTTTTGGGGGGGAAAGGTGTGTTTTATACTCCAAAAAATATGGTACTGCAGTTGTTAAATTAGGAATTAGTTAAATTAGTTGTTAAGTGAATCTGGTTTTTCCCCATTGTCGTTACTTGTCAGAAGGTCGCAATAGTGGATCACATGACTCTGGGACACTGCGACCATCATAACTATTTATTTATTTATTTATTTTGTTCAATTTGTATCCCGCCCTTCTCCTAGTGGACTCAGGGTGGTGCACAGCCAAAACTAAAACACATACCAATACAAAATTTAAATTTTTTAAAAGAATTTCATGACTTTGGCCCCAAAATTTAAAACATTCAAACTAAAACCCATTGACAATTTAAAAAACTAAAAAAGCTAGAAAAGGGGGGGGAGGGGCTGTTGTCAGCCTCCAAATGTAAATCACATGACCGCGGGCGTGCTGCAGCCGTAAGTCACTTTTTAAAGTGCCGTCGTAACTTTGAACAGTCACTAAATGAAGGGTTGTACGTCGAGGACTACCTGTATAGGGTCTCCTGCTTGAGTAGGAGGCTGGACTAGATGTCCACCTAAGGTCCCTTCCAACTCTTGTTAATTCTTTCTTTTCCTCTGCAATCCCCTTTTCAGGGCCAGGTGGAGATCGAGGATCAGGTGGAAGGTTTACATTACGTCGCGGAGAAATACGGGTTCGTCGACCTCAGCCGCGTGGCCATCCATGGCTGGTCGTACGGAGGTTTCCTTTCCCTGGTGGGGCTCATTTACAAGCCCCACGTTTTCAAGGTGAGCCTGGCTGCCTGAAAAGGTAAACGTTTTTGGAATGGGACAACTCACCGTGGCCAACTCACCATTGGCCAGCTCGCAGCAGGACACCTCGCCACGGCCAACTAAACGTGGGACCACTTGCTGTGGCACAATTTGACAATGAATAAGAATAAGAATAGAGGAGGAGAGGAGGAGAGGAATGGATGGGAATGGGAAGAGAGTAGAGTAGAATAGAACAGAACAGAACAGAACAACAGAACAGAATAGAACAGAACAGAACAGAACAGAACAATAGGGGAGGGAGAGAAGAAGAGAAGAGGAATGGAAGGGAATGGGAAGAATAGAATAGAATAGAATAGAATAGAATAGAATAGAATAGAAGAGGGGAGGGAGAGAAGAAAGAGAGGAATGGAAGGGAATGGAATAGAATAGAATAGAATAGAATAGAATAGAATAGAATAGAATAGAATAGAATAGAATAGAATAGAATAGATAGGGGAGGGAGAGAAGAAGAGAAGAGGAATGGAAGGGAATGGGAATGGGAATGGGAATGGGAAGAGAGTAGAGTAGAGTAGAGTAAAGTAGAATAGAATAGAGAATAGAATAGAATAGAATAGAATAGGGGAGGGGAGGGGAGGGAGAAGAGAAGAGAAGAGAAGAGAAGAGAAGAGAAGAGAAGAGAAGAGAAGAGAAGAATTCTTTATTGGCCAAGTGTGATTGGACACACAAGGAATTTGTCTTTGGTGTATACGCTCTCAGTATACATAAAAGAAAAGACACGTTCATCAAGAATCATAAGGTACAACACTTAATGATAGTCATAGGGTACAAATAAATTCTATTTAATTATTTAAAATGAACAAAAAAATTATTTTTAATTTTTGCCATTCACATTTCATTTTGTCCGTCCTTTTACATCCTTTCTTTAATGATTCTATTCCACTATTTCTTTGATAACCTGTTTCCCTGAAAATAAGACCCAACAGGAAAATAAATCCTAGCATGATTTTTCAGGATGCTCGTAATATAAGCCCTACCCCCAAAATAAGCCCCAGTTAAGGTTGTCAGCCAGTGGATGCATTTAGTACTGTATTTCCCCAAAAATAAGACCTAACCAGAAAATAAGCCCTAATGCGTCTTTTGGAGAAAAAATTAATATAAGACCCGGTCTTATTTTTGGGGAAATACAGTTATTAGCTTAACTTTTGTCCTGCAGCAAGTTGGCTGTGGGGAGTTGTTGTACAGCGAGTTGGCCCCACAACTTGGCTGTGACAAGTTGTCATAGACCCAACTGGTTTCCGCTGTCCAGCTGTGCCTGACTCTAGGGACCGCTGCTCATCTCCTTTTGCTAGCCGAAGGAACCAGTGTTGTCTGAAGACGCTTCCGTGGTCATGTGGCTGGCATGGCTGCATGCCAAAGGCGCCTGGAACATTGTTACCTTCCCATCGAAGCGATACCTATTTATCTACTTGCATTTGGCATGCTTTCTTTTTAAAAAAATATATTATGTTTTATCAATGGGAATAATATACAAAACAGAAAAAGATCAGAAAAAACATACATCCAACAGTAACAACAACAAAAAATTGTTTACAAGAAAAGAGGGGAAAAATGACACAAACCTCCAGTATCCAAAAAAAGAACTAAAAAACTTGATAAATTCTCCTGCCCTTACGCAATGGGTCTGCAAATACTGTGTTTTTCGCGCTATAAAACGCACCAGACCATAAGACGCACATTAGCTTTAGAGGAGGAAAACGAGGGGGTGAAAATCTGCCTCTGTCTCCCAGCATCCATCCGGTATTCATCTGGCTACCGTCCTTGCAGCAAACAGCCTGGTCAGCTTCAGCACGTTATCACTTCCCGACTTGACTACTGCAATGCTCTCTACATGGGGCTCCCCTTGAAGTGCACCCAGAAGCTCCAACTGGTCCAGAATGCGGCCGCGCGAGTAATTATGGGAGCAACATGGCACTCACATGTAACACCTCTTCTACGCGAGCTGCACTGGCTTCCGGTGGCCTTCCGAGTGCGCTTCAAGGTGTTGGTTCTTACCTTTAAACTGCTCCATGGCTTAGGACCTGAGTACTTACGAGACCACCTGCTGCAACCGATAACCTCCCACCAACCAATACGCTCTCACAGAGTATTGTAGGCCTACTCATAGTACCATCATTAAAACAATGTCGTCTAGTAGTTCCAAGGGAGAGAGCCTTCTCTGTGGGGGCACCTACTCTTTGGAACAAAATACCCCCTGGAATACGAATAATCCCAGATCTTCGCACTTTCCGACGTGCCCTGAAGACCTCTCTGTTTCAACAAGCAGGGCTAGCATAAACATCTAAATTCTGTGCCAAGATCTTAGCAGATACACCAAGTTGACTCAATTTATTATTTACTGTTTATATATATATATATAAATATATATATTATAGAAATTCAATAAATAATAATAATCACAGCCCCAGCACGTGGCTCGGCAGGGCTCTGCTCTGTTGCGCCCACCACCGGTCAGCTAAACGACAGCTGGATCCCAGCCTCCTGTAGCCCCGCCGATCAGTGGGCTGGCTGATTGGAAACGCTGCCATTGCTGCCTCCTCCATGTCTGCTGCCTCCGCCAGGAACGCTGGAGCCTTCGCTGCCGAACAGCTGATTGGCGGTTGGATCAGCCTCCCAGAATATCGTCGATCAGCTGTCCTAGGTGGTGGGGATCGTCACTGCCACCGATCGCCGCCGCCGCCGAATGGCTGCTCGGCGGTATTCTGGGAGGCCGATCCAACCATCAATCAGCTGCTCGGGAGCGAAGTCTCCAGCGTTTCCTGGTGGCGGTGAATGGTGGCAGTGACAGGCCACCACCGCACCAACCCCCCTCTCCCCTTGCCGCAATATTCCATAAAACACAGACATTTCCACCCACTTTACGGGGGGACAGACTGCGTCTTATAGAGTGAAAAATACGGTAGCTACTTTCTCATCCTTATTTAACAAGAAAAATGTTTATATAAACAACTAGGACAGGAGTGTCAACGTCACGTGACATTGTGACTTTTCCCCCCTTCGCTAAAATGGGACTGGGGGGTGGCCAGCGCGTGATGCATCTGGCCCGTGAGTTTGACACCCCTGAACTAGGATATTTAAAGGCCCGGGGACTAAAACATACGAAACACGGTTGCAGGATTTGGGTATGTCTAGTCTTAACGAAGAGAAGGACCAGGAGTGGCACGATAGCAGTCTTCCAGTATTTGAGGGGCTGCCCCAAAGAAGAGGTGGGGTGGGTCAACCTATTCTCCAAAGCACTTGAAGGCAGGACAAAAAAGCAACAGATGACAACTGATCAAGAAGAGAAGCAACCTGGAACTAAGGCGAAACTTCCTAACTGTGTTGTGGCCCGCCAGCGGCCTGTGTAGCTGATTCCGACAATGAGGAGGCTGGTGTGGTGCTGCGCCAGCAGCCTGTGCAGCTGGCGCTCGAGTCGGACAGTGAGGAGGCTGTGACAGTGATTCAGCCAGGGCCTTCAGAACCTCCCGAAGCTCCTTTAAGTGAAGAGGACAAAGAGGAGGAGCCTCTTCTCAATGCACGGGTGCGTAGAGCGGCCAAAAGGCAGGAGTGGCTCCTCAGGAGGAGTTCTCCTCGAGAGTAAGGCTTGGGGCTAATTGGCCACTCCCTTAGCCTATTTAAGGAGGAACGCCGATTGAAACAAGCCGTAGGGAACAACTTTAGTTCACTCTATTTCGCGTCTGGATTCTCTGCAAATTGCTTCTGGGCTTTCTGCCAACCTTAGTAAGATTGTGATTACCTTATCTTTGGTTTCTTGTAGGCTGTTAAGAAAGTTTATTAACAGCCTTTGTTTTGAAAAAGACTGAGTTATTTTAGTAAATTAAGTTTTGTACAGACTTGGTGTGTGCTGCGTTCTTTGGGGTCCGTAGCTGAGGCAGAACAAACTGGGAGAACAATTAACCAGTGGATGGCTTTTGTTCCACTGGCCATTTTTTCTGACAAGCAAAGTCAGCGGGGAAGCCAGATTCACTTAACAACCGTGATAAAATTCATGGATGAATTTTATCAAACACAGGGTTCCTGTTTGGCCAAATGTGTGCAGCAGGAGGCTGGTTCTTTGTGTGTGTGTGTGTGTGTGTGTGTGTGTGTGTGTGTGTGTGTGTGTTCGTGTTGGAGGCAGGAAGACTCCGCTCTAGATTTATCCTCTTTCGTTCTCCTCCCGTAGGTCGCCATAGCAGGAGCCCCCGTCACCGTCTGGATGGCTTACGATACCGGATACACGGAGCGGTACATGGACGTCCCGGAGAACAACCAGCAAGGCTACGAAGCGGGCTCAGTGGCCCTGCATGTCGAGAAACTCCCTAACGAGTGAGTATTATGGGAGGATACCCGATGGGGTGGGAGGGGCGCGTAGAGGAAGGGGTCCAAGGACGAGGCCCCCTCAGCAAAATTCACAACGTCTCCACATTGAGATGGACAGTCAGGCGAGGTTATGCAAAAAGCACGACGTTAAGTGGCAGACGGTAGCTTGTCTTGGCTGCTCGCACACATTTCGGTAGTCCTCGACTTACAACAGGTCATTAAGTGACCATTCAGAGTTACAACTGGCACTGAAAAAAGGGACTGTAGGACCGTTTTTCACACTTACGACCATTTCAACAACCTCACAAGTCATATGATCAAAATTCAGACGCTTGGCAACTGACTCGTATTTATGATGGTTGCAGCGTCTCGGGGTCATGTGATCCCCTTTTGCGACCTTCAGACAAGCAAAGTCAGAATAACAGAGTTGGAAGGTAGTTTGGAGGTTTTCTCAGCCATAGTGTTCGAGCGATTGCGCCCTCAATGCTCTTCTTGTTTCCTGGGTTGCGCAGATCCTCAGGGCCCGGGCCTTCGGTTGATGTTGTGCAACGCCAGGTCCGTGGTAAATAAAGCCCCCCTCATTTGTGATCTCGTTCAGGAGGGGGGAACGGACCTGGCGGGTATTATGGAGACCTGGTTGGGCCTGGAAGGGGGGGTCCCCCTCGTTGAAATGTGCCCACCAGGTTTCCGCGCATTCCATCAGCCGAGGTCTCAGGGGAGGGGCGGGGGCGTGGCGGTTGTTATAAAGGAAGGTCTTGGTCCGAGGGAGGCCACTGTGCCTCAAATAGCTGGATGTGAGTCCCTCCTTGTGAAGTGGGGCCATGGGGGGCAGATGGGCTTGCTGATCGCGTACCTGGCTCCCTGCCGCGTGGCGGCAGCCTTGCCTGAGCTGCTCAACGTGGTAGCCGGGGTGGCGATTGATACCCCCAGGCTTATGGTCATGGGGGATTTCAACCTGCCATCTATCGGTGAAATGTCTGAGGCGGGTCGGGAGTTCATGGCTTCCATGACGGCCATGGACCTGACCCAGTTAGTTCATGGGCCCACTCACACAGGGGGACACACTCTGGACTTGGTTTTTGTCTCTGGCCAGTGGCTGAATGGTTTTGATGTAGGGGATATTATAATCGAGCCCTTGTCATGGTCAGATCATTCTCTCCTTCAACTTGACCTTCAAACCGCTACACCTCGCTGCAGGGAGGCGGAACCGACTAGGTGGTTCCACCCCAGGCACCTGATGGACCCAGATAGGTTCCAGACAGAGCTTGGGCCATTCCCTGAGGTTCTGGCTCATGACGCGGCTGAAGACCTGGTGGCCGCCTGGGATAGGGCGGCCGCTGGAGCTTTGGACCACGTCGTGCTTTTGTGGCCTCTGATCCGGTGCCGATCCCAGGTGGCTCCCTGGTTTTCCGAGGAGCTGAGGGAAATGAAGCGCCGGAAAAGGCGCCTAGAGAGCGGTTGGAGGGCCAGCCGGTCCGAATTTGACCGAACACCGGTGAGGTCTCATATTAAGACCTACCTAGTGGCGATATGAACGGCAAAGTCTGACTACTTTTCCGCTCTTATCGCGTCTGCAGATAACCGCCCGGCCGCCCTGTTTAGGGTGACCCGCTCCCTGCTCCATCTGGGAGCGCGGGAAGACCCCTTGGAGGGTAGGGCTGAGGATTTTGTACAGTATCTGCATGACAAAATCACTCAAATTCGGGAAGGTTTGGACTCTTGACGGGGTAGGTTCAGACGGGGTGATGGAGGAAGGACTTGAGAGTGCTATCTGGGAGAGTTTGACCCGGTGACTCCCGAAGGCGTGGACAGGATTCTGGGTAGACTTAGCGCGGCCACATGTTTATTGGACCCGTGTCCCTCCTGGCTGGTGCTGGCTTCCCGGGAGGGTACACGAGGCTGGCTCCAGAGGATTATCAATACTTCTTTGAGTGAAGGTTGCTTTCCCGCTGCCTTGAAAGAGGCGGTGGTGAGGCCCCTCCTCAAGAAGCCCTCCCTGGACCCAGCTGTTTTAGCGAATTATTGTCCAGTCTCCAACCTCCCCTTTGTGGCGAAGGTTGTTGAGAATGTGGTGGCGCGATAGTTCCCCCAGTATGTGGATGAAGCGGTCTATCTTGATCCTTTCCAGTCAAGTTTCAGACCTGGGTACAGCACAGAAACGGCATTGGTCGCATTGGTTGATGATCTCTGGAGGGCTCGGGACAGGGGCTTTTCCTCTGTCCTAGTCCTATTAGATCTCTCAGCAGCTTTTGATACCATCGACCATGGTATCATGCTGCGCCGGTTAAAGGGGTTAGGCGTGGGAGGCAGTGTGCGGTGGTTCTCCTCCTTTCTCTCTGACCGGTCGCAGTTTGTGTTGACGGGGCCAGAGGTCGACCTCGAGGCACCTTGTGTGTGGAGTGCCGCAAGGGTCGGTCCTCTCGCCCCTTCTGTTCAACATTCATGTGAAGCCGCTGGGTGAGATCATCCGTGGTTTCGGGGTGGAGTTCCACCAGTACGCTGATGACACTCAGCTGTACATCTCCACCCCGGACCACCCCAACGATGCCCTTGAAGTGATGTCCCGGTGTCTGGAGGCCGTGCAGATCTGAATGGGGAGAAACAGGCTCAAGCTCAACCCGTCCAAGGCTGAGTGGCTATGGCTCCTGGCGTCCCGATATAGTCAGGTGGTGCCATCTCTGACTATTGGGGGCGAGTCGTTGGCCCCCACGGGGAGGGCTCGCAACTTAGGTGTCCTGGATGCACGGCTGTCCTTAGAAGAACATGTGACAGCCGTGGCCAGGGGGGCTTTTTATCAGGTTTGCCTGATCTGCCAATTGCGTCCCTTTCTGGATCGGGACTCCCTACGCACGGTCACTCATGCCCTTGTCACTTCCCGCCTGGACTACTGCAATGCTCTCTAAATGGGGCTCCCCTTGAAGAGCACCTGGAGGCTCCAACTGGTCCAGAATGCGGCCGCGCGGGTGATTATGGGAGCGTCATGGCGCTCCCATGTAACACCTCTCCTGCGCGAGCTGCACTGGCTTCCGGTGGTCCTCCGGGTGTGATTCAAAGTATTGGTTACCACCTTCAGAGCGCTCCTTGGCTTAGGACTTGGGTATTTACAAGACCGCCTTCTGCTACCAATAGCCTCCCACCGGCCAATTCGCTCCCACAGAGAGGGGCTCCTCCAGGTGCCGTCGGCCAAACAATGTCGGCTGGCAACCCCCAGGGGGAGAGCCTTCTCTGTGGGGGCTCCTGCCCTCTGGAACGAATTGCCCCCCGAGATGCGGAGGATTCCCGACTTACGCACCTTCTGCCAGGCCTTCAAGACACTTTTATTCCAACAAGCCGGGCTGGCCTAATTTTTAAATTTTTATCGTTAACTTTTAACTTTTAAATATCCAAAATGGGTAGTTTTATTTTAATTAGATATGGGCCAAATTATTTAATATTTCTTAAATTGTTTTTTAAATTTTATATCTGTGTGCTTTATTTTGGCTGTATACCACCCTGAGTCCTTCTGGGAGAAGGGCGGTATATAAATTAAATTAATAAATAAATAAAATAAATAAACAGCAAATAGCCTGCTTTACTTTCATTTTCGTTTTCAGCATAGCTTGATTAGCACAAGGGGGAAAAAATCTGCTCCAGCAATTTACCTCCTTGCAGCAAGCAGCAGAGGCCCTGGCAAAACAGCTGAGAGTAAAACAGCTGAGAGTCAGGAGGCCGATCCAATCAACTTGTGCTAATTAGGCTGTGCTGAAGCTGAAAGGAGCTGTTTTTTCTTGCTGTTTGCTGCAAGGAGTTAAACTGCTGGGAGGCAGAGGCCAAAGGGTGGGGGCCAGTGGGTGGGCGGGGCTACATTCGGTGTATAAGACGCACCTAAATTTTCATCCCCTTTTAGGGGGGAAAAAGGTGTGTCTTATACTCCAAAAAATACGGTAATTTGTTACAACATTCTTTCCAAATTTCTTACGTTCATTTTATGCCTCCTTTCTCCCTATTTTTTCTTACTACATTTCTATCTTGCTTTTACATCTTCCTTCATTACATTTCTCCCAAAAATTTTAATTATATTGATTTTCATATATATTTCTTCTGTAACCATTGATAAAATTGCCCCCATACCTTAAAATACTCCGATTTTTCTTTTTCTTTAATTGCCAATGTCAATCTATTCATTTCTGCACATTCCAATATTTTCTTAATTACTTCTCCCTCTGTAGGGATTTTCTCTGCTGAAAAGGAAATGTTAATTGTATGCTTTGCGCGCGAAAATCTCAGATCCAGCTTTGCCCCTTCTGTAGCTACTTTGGCTTTAGTAAAGTATATTTTTTTGTCTAGTCGTGGGCCAGGAGTCTTTCTTTCTTTCCTAACTGACCAAGTAGGGACGGTTGACACTTAAACCCTGGATCATTTTTCCTCTCCCTACTTCCCAGGCCCAACCGCTTGCTGATCCTCCACGGGTTTCTGGATGAAAACGTGCACTTTTTCCACACCAGTTTCTTGATCTCCCAATTAATCCGGGCTGGGAAACCGTATCAGCTACAGGTAGGTGAGAGTGCTGGAAATAAAGAGGGCACCATCCTGCCCACTGGGAACAGAGGACTATTGCAGTTGGTAAGGTGCAGGCCCCTGCCAGCTAAGGTACTGGTAATTATTTATTTTTATTGAGGGGGTCCTTGGTGCTCTCTGAGCTTGGTTATTTTCTTGCAGACATTTCATGACCCAATTAGATAACGTCATCAGTGCTAGAAGGGGATGGAGTTTGCAGAAAGGAGGAGGGAGAGGGGCAGAAGGAGGACAAGTACGACAACGACTGACGGTGACGAGGCGAGAACAGAGGATGGGCCTCTGTGGCCTTAGTTGTACCCCCCAGCCTTGTACCTAGGTCCAAGGGGCCCCCCTGCCCTCCTCCGCGGTACCTGTTCCTAGACTCTTTTAACACCGTTCTCTTCCCTCCCTTCGTCCCCGCAGATCTATCCAAACGAACGACACAGTATTCGTTGCCCTGAGTCCGGGGAGCACTACGAAATCACGCTGCTGCACTTTCTTCAAGAATACCTCTGAGAGGGCGGACGGGCCCTTCCCCTCCTGCTTCCCCCCCCGCCCCCACACCTCCACCTCCGCCGTGGACGCCAACATGGTTCCCGCGCTCTGCTCCCGCTGCTTCTTTTCAGCCACGGGGCAGCCTTCGAACGCAGAGCACAAAAACCGCCTCGGGAGGAGGAGGAGGGGGGGAGGCCCATCTCTCCTCACGCTGGGCCCTAGGGAGGCCCTTCTGCTTTCCAGATGGCGCAGCTCTAACCTTTGTTTTTTTTCCAGCCTCTCTTAGGGCTTTTTCTTATTCTGTCCCCCCACCCAGCCACCCACCCACAACCTCCCCCACCCGTGTCCCCCTTCCCCCAAGTATTTGCTGCTACTTTCTTTGTGCTGGAAATAAAAGACGGGCAGTTTTTCCCCTCATCCCACCTCACCCCTTCGGCTGTCTGTCTGTCTGTCTGTCTCTCTACCTGCTAAGAGTTCTGTGTGTGTCTCCCCGTCCGTCCGTCCGTCCCCCGACCTTCCACCTTGTTGCTGGCTTGGCTCTCCCCGCTTCCCCCGCCTCGGATGCAGGAGGAGACCCTTTTTCTGACTAGGTGGGCTCAACAGGCAAGGGAAAAGGGGAAGGAAGAGGAAATGGAGAGAGGGAAAGAGAGAGGGAAATTGACTGGAACAGGAACTCGGGGGGGGGGTGGATTGTAAGGGGGCTCTATTTATAAGCATGTGGTGCTGCTGTCTTGGATCTCCCCCCATCCTGACCCACCCCTTTCTCCCCTCCCCCACGCCCCCAGCATGTTTGAAAGGTGCGAGCCATCCTTGTTTACCTATCTGGAAACCAGGCATAACGGTGGCCGAGTTTGGTTTGGGATTTTATTTTTATTTTATTCTTTTTTCTTTTAACAAAATTAGCTTTTCTTTAGCCTTCGTGAGATTATTTATGGACGTCTTTTTTTCTTTTTTCTTTTTTTCTTCCTCCCCCTCTTTCTGGTTGTGTCCTAATCTCCCTCCTTGTCCTGTCTCCATTGAGGGAGGGGCCCCGGTAAGTTAGGCATGGCTTCAGTTCTCTGCCGGTCAGCGACTGTAATTTTTTGGTCCCCCCCGCCCCTCCTCCCCCCTCCCCCCCCAGTTCCAACGGATGTCGCTTGTTTGTTCTCTTTGCGGTAGCACTCTCTCCTCCGTCTCCCCCGTTGCACCCACTCAACATAAACGGCGATCCGGGAAGAGATCTGAAAGGGGGGGGAGGCTTCGTCTCGCGGTCGCCCCTCTGGAGAAACTCTCGGCCGGCTTGCTCTCCTGCCTCCCTTTTCCCACCCACCCGGCCCGACCGTCTGCTCCTGCTTCCCCCTGGGTGGGGTGAAATGGAAAGCGAGAAGGAAACGTCGACCTGCCCACAACACGAGGGGGGGGGGAAGGAAAATCTGAACCACACACACACACACAAAAAAAACAAACAAACCCCCAACTCTCCTCCTCCCCAGTATCTTTAAGTGCGTATTATGAAAAGAAAATATTTTTATGGATTCTTATTCTTTTATAATTATGAGTGGTAAGATGTAGTGACTCATTAAACTATTGGAACGAGGCACCCTGTTGCTTCCCGCCTGGTGTGGTTTTTGTTTGTTTTGGTTTTTATTTTTTTTATTTTGTCTTTTAAACTTTTGCAGAATCGCCTGTCGGGGAAATGAATTGGGCTAATTGAGGGTCTAGACCGAAGATGTTTGGGAGCTGGGTTTTTTTTTCCCCTCCCCTAGTCTTTGACTTACTGGGATTGCAGGAATGACCAAAAAATAAAACCACTATGGGTAGTCCTCGACTTACGACCACAATTGATGCTTAGATCTGGGGCCATCCTGGAAAGAATGGAAGAACTGGCCTGTAGTACCTCTGCCAGCGGAAACGGAGCTCAGGAGGGCCGCTTGTGGCACATGCGATGTCGAGCTGGCCATGCCCACCCCGGCCCCCCCGAGGTCAAACACAACCCTGATGCGGCCCTCAATGAAATCGAGTTTGACACCCCTGCTCTAGATCAGGGGTCTCCAACCTTGGCAACTTTAACCCTGGAGGACTTCAACTCCCAGAATTCCCCAGCCAGCTGCTGGGGAATTCTGGGAGTTTATTTTATTTATTTATTTATTTATTATCAAATTTATAGACCGCCTTTCTCCCAAAGGACTCAGGGTGGTGTACAGCCAAAATAAAAAACATAGATACAAACATTAAAAACAATTTAAAAAGATATATATATAAGTTTGGCCCCAAAGTTAAAAAACAATAACAAAACATATTAAAAACATTTAAAAAGCATTAAGCCAGCCCGGCTTGCTGAAAAAGAAAGGTCTTCAGGGCACGGCGGAAGGCACCGAGGTCTTGAATTCTTATTTCTGGGGGCAGTTTTTTTTTTTTTTTTAATTTGATTTATATGCTGCCCTTCTCCGGAGACTCAGGGCGGCTTACAATGCGTTAAGCAATAGCCTTCATACTTTTGTATATTTATACAAAGTCAGCTTATTGCCCCCCACAATCTGGGTCCTCATTTAACCTACCTTAGAAAGGATGGAAGGCTGAGTCAACCTTGAGCTTGGAGAGATTCGAACCAGCAGAAATTGCAGGTAGCTGTGTTAATAACAGGGTGCACTAAACCACTGTACTATCAAGGCTCTTACTATCTGTATTATCAAGTTGATTCCAGAGGGCAGGTGCCCCCACAGAGAAGGCCCTCCCCCTGGGGGCCACCAGTCTACATTGCTTGGCCGATGGCACCCTGAGGAGACCCTCTCTGTGGGAGCGCACCGGTCGGTGGGAGGTCGTCAGTGGCAGCAGGCGGTCTCGAAGGTATCCAGGCCCTATGCCATGGAGCGCTTTAAAGGTGATAACCAACACCTTGAAGCGCACCTGGAAGACCACTGGGAGCCAGTGCAGCTCGCGCAGGAGAGGTGTTATGTGGGAGCGCCATGCAGCTCCCGTCACTACCCGCGCGGCCGCATTCTGGACCAGCTGAAGTCTCCGGGTGCTCTTCAAGGGGAGCCCCATGTAGAGAGCGTTGCCGTAGTCCAGGCGAGAGGTGACGAGGGCATGAGTGAGTTGAAGTTCTCCAGGCTTAAAGTTGCCAAGGTTGGAGACCCCTGCTCTAAATCAAACTTTTCCAAGCTACAGATAGTCCTTGACTTCTTATCACATTTCTGTTGTTGAGTTGTGGTCCTCGACTCACAAACATACATTCAATAACCGAAGTTCACAACAGCGCTGAAAAAAAGTGACTTATGGCCATTTTTCACACTTACGACCCTTCCTTGCAGCGTCACCTGTGGTCGCACGATCAAAATTCAGACCCTTGATTACCGGCTCATATTTATGACGGTTGCAGTGTCCCGGGGTCACATCATCTCCTTTTGCGACCTCCCGACCAACAAAATCAGTGGGGAAAGCCAGATTCATTTTAAGAACCCTGTTAACTCGCTTAATGGCTGCACTTAATGCACTTAACGACCTTGGCAAGAAAGGTGGTTTTAAAATGGAGCAAAATGACTTAGCAACTTGTCTCGCTTAGCCATGGAAATGTCGGGCTCAAATGTCGTAAGTCGAGAACTAGGGGACATGAGAGCAGTCTCCCGGTATTTGAGGGGCTGCCACCGAGAAGAGGGGATCCATTATTTGCCAAAGCATCCGAGGGCAGGACAAGAAACAACGGATGGAAACTAACCAAGGAGGAGAAGCAACCTGGAATTGAGGAGAATCTTCCTAACAGAACAATTAACCAGTGAAACTACCCGCCTCCAGAAGTTGGTGCTCCATCACTGAAGGTTTTTAAAACCTTCACTTGTCTGAAATGGTGTAGGGTCTCTTGCTTGAATGGGGCTGGACTAGATGACCTCCCAGGTCCTTTCCAGCTCTATTCTGATTCTGATTGACTATCTAGAGCTCTTAAAAAATGAGCAAGTTATCTCATCTCTTCTGTCTGACAGCTTCTCCCTGTCTCTTCTAAAGTGGGGTGTAGATTTGAGGAGGTGTTCAGAACTGGAATGACCAAGAGCTCAGCGGCGTTTGCTCTGCTCTGTGTCGGAAGCATCGTTTCCGAAAATTACCTTGACCTTTTTTCACTGCCGGAAAGGATCCCTCATCCTTTTCCCCTGCACCCCTAGGGAAGTTCTCTTCCCGGTCCCGTGCATTTACAGTGGTGGCCAAAATTGTGGAAACCTTTTGGGAAAAGTGTATTTTTTGAGGTTTGATAGCTAATAACACCATTTTTGGGGGGATTTTCAAAATAATCATATTCTGCTGCTGGAATGGCCTGGGAATAGCCCAGATCTTAACCCAGGGGTGAAATGCTCCCGATTCAGACTGGATCGCCTGATCCGGTCTGAACCGGGAGCATTTCATCCCTGGGTGATCTGGTAGCGATGGCAGTGGGTGATTCGGAGAACCGGTAGCAAAAATCCATGCCCCCACCCTCCATGCCCAGCTGAGCCACGTGATCATCAAGCTTTTTTTTTATTATTTTTAAAAGCATTTTTTTCTACAACCTCTGGTTGAAAAAATGTTAAAAGAAAAAAAAGCCTCTGACGATCAGGCAACTCAGCTGGGATCGCCAGAGGCTTTTAAAAGCATTTTTTTACAAGCTCTTCGGCTGAAGAAGTAGAAAAAATGGTTTTAAAAGTAAGAAAAAAAGTTGGCCATGCCCACTCAGTCACATTACCCCCACTCAAAGCCACGCCCAGAGAACCAGTAGTAACACATTTTAGATTTCACCACTGCCTTAACTCAATTGAAAATCTAGGGAGCCGACTAAAGAAACTTGTTAGTCAGAAGCGACCCAGCAATGAAACCCAGTTAATAGAAGCCATCATTCAATCTTGGTTTCACATTGTAACAGCTGCAAAACTAAAAGACTTGGTTCACTCCACGGGAAGACGTCGTAAGGCCGTAATTCATGCTAAAGGTTACCCAACTAAGTATTAACTGGCATGGGGATCATTTTTGTGTATCTTGTTTTTTTCTATGGTAATAATTTTTATATATATCGTTTTTTCTACGTGTTTCAACTTTCTACTTGTTTCAACTTCTTTATACTGTAACTGCTATTCTAATAGCAAATCCTTCATAAAAGTTTTTGCATTACATTCTTGATTAAATTATCTTTCCATTGATGCATAATTTTATGGTTACTACTCCAAAAAAAAAAAAAAAGTGGTGTTATTAGCTAGTTTTAGAAAATACGCTTTTCCCAAAAGGTTTCCACAATTTTGGCCACGACTGTACTATTTTTCATGCACTTGTACCTACTTCTCTTCTTCGAACCTCACGAGATAACTTGAGTTATCAAGCACCGAGTTCCGGATCACCGCAAGGAAACCACATCCTCTGTTGCACTGGAGGGCTACTGCTGGGGGCTATGTAGAAGCTGGGCTCGCGTGACAAAATTGTGGCTTTGCAAAACCCAGCAGGTGGAGGCAGGGCCAGTGAAAGGAAACTGAGGGGGAAGAGAAGGTTCAAGAGATCTGGGAACTTTTGCCGTTGCAGAGAGACGGGCAAGGCAGGAGGCATCTCTTTTCCTAGCCTTTTCTGCAGGAAATTGGTAAGTGCACCTGGGAGAAACAAGTCATAAATCAGGGACAGAACTCCTGTTTTGGTAAGGGGAACGTCAGCCATCGCCCATTAAAACAGGGAGCTGCACTCAAGATCCTAGGAAATGCTTGGTGGTTGTTTTTTTAAGGTAGACTGCCCCAGCCTCTGGAAGCTCCGCTTCACCATCCTGCAGCCAGGAATATCTTGGTCATGTGCCTAAGATGCTTGTGCCCCTTTCATATCATCTCATTTGATCACAGACAAACACACACACACCCAGTGGTGGGATTCAGCCAGTTCGCACCATTTCGGGAGAACCGGTTGTTAACTTTCTGAGCAGTTTCACAAACTGGTTGTTGGATGAAATCATTAGGGCAGAGAACCGGTTGTTAAATTATTTGAATCCCACCACTGCACACACCTTTTATGTGGTCCAATAGACATGTGAGAAGAGGCAGCTGTGTAGATTGTTGTTGGTGTGGATGGTATAAGTTTTAAGAGTTATAACTTAATTATCAGTTTTTTTGGCAGCTGCAGCTGTCAGAAAAGCTAACACGGTCCTAGGCTGCATTAACAGAGGGATAGAATCAAGATCACGTGAAGTCTTAATATCACTTTATAATGCCTTGATAAGGCCACACTTGGAATACGGCATTCACTTTTGGTCGCCATGATGTAAAAAAGATGTGGAGACTCTGGGAAGAGTGCAGAGAAGAGCAGCAAAGAGGATTAGGGGACTGGAGGCTAAAACATATGAAGAACGGTTGCTGGAATTGGGTGTGTCTAGTTTGAGGAAAAGAAGGACTAGGGGAGACATGATAGCAGTCTTCCAATATTTGAGGGGCTGCCACAAAGAAGAAGGAGTCAAACTATTCTCCAAAGCACCTGAAGGCAGGAGAAGAAACAATGGATGGAAACTAATCGAGGAGAGAGAAGCAACCTGGAATTAAGGAGAAACGTCCTGACAGTGAGAAACAATTAACCAGTGGAATAGCTTTCCTTCAGAAATTGTGGGTGCTCCAATATTGGAGGTTTTTAAGAAGAGACTGGACAGCCATTTGTCTGAAATAGGATAGGATCTCCTGCCTGAGCAGGGGGTTGGACTAGAAGACCTCCAAGGTCCCTTCCAACCCTGTTATTCTATTATAAATTGATAGGAAGATAGCAAGAGTGTTATGGAATGATGAGACCAGAGACTAAACAACATTCCTGGTCAGCCAGAGACAGTTTATTGCGCAGTTTCAGAATCAGATTTGTATCTGCAATTCTGAACTCAGAAGAGCTCTGATACAACTGCTTTTATACATCTCCAAGGCAAAGGATTTTGTGAGCACAGCAGTTTTCCATATATGGTTAACATACATTTGTTACATTATAATTGACACTTTCTAATTACTAAATTCCTTCGTTATTTTCTAGTTCGTAAGATTATCTTAGCTAAACAACCTTCCTCAGTTCTGTGATTGCTGATGCGTAGATTCATGGCTGTTTTGGATAATAAGTAACTTTTGTTTCATATGGATGTCCTTGCATCCTTTACCTCTGCTTCTTGGCTCAGATCTGTCTTTGTGTCCAAACATCTTCAAGTCCAATTATGAAAACATTAAACTACATTGTCTTTGATTGGGGTGTGGTTTCATAGACGGTGCAAAACTCATATTCCACACAAAGGCTTTTCTTTGCTATGATCAGCATTATACTCTCCTGGTGATTGACCCAAAGTCCCCCAGATAGCTTTCCTGCCTAAAGTAAGACTAGAACTCACCATCTCCTAGTGATTGGCTCAGAATCACTCAGCTGGCTTTGATACCTAAGGTGGAACTAGAACTCACCATCTCCTGGTGATTGGCCCAGTCGCCCAGCCGGCTTTGCTGCCTAAGGGAGGACTAGAATTCACCATCTCCTAGTGATTGGGCCGAAGTCACCCAGCTGGTTTTCATGCCTAAAGTGGGACTAGAACTCATTGTCTCCTGGTGTTTGGCCCAAAGTCACCCAGCCAGCTTTCATAGTTAAGGTGGAACTAGAATTCCCTGTCTCCTGGTGATTGGCCCAGAGCCACCCAGCTGGTTTTCATGCCCAAGTCAGTTCTAGAACTCACCATCTCCTTGTGATTGGCCGCTACTGATTCTCATTCTCCCTTCTGAAAGAGCCAGACCAGAAGAAAAGAAAAGAAATAAACACCGAAAATAAGCACTTTGTCCCACTTTGCTTTTCGGTCTCTTGTTCTCGTCCCAAAGCTGGATTTCCCAAAGGCTTCTGGATTTTCTTATGTTTCTTTTTCTTTCTTTGAAAACATTTCGCTTCTCACCCAAGAACCTTCCTCAGTTCTAACTATTAGTTCTAACTAACTACCCTCCGAGTCCTAACCCATTTCTGTTTTTTTTAATCTTTCCAGGTTTTGGAAAACAGAACCAAGGATTCCAAACTAGAGATGGAAGTTTTGGAAAACCTGCAGGAGCTGAAAGAACTCAACCAGCGCCAGGCCAACGTGGACTTTGAATCCATGTTGCATCAGTACAAAGAGTTTGAGGAAGAGCAGAAGCAGCGGGAATTGGAAGAAGACGAGCAGGAAATGAAGTGAGCCTCAAGAATCTTGTCCCGGGATCTGCCCTTGCTATTTTTTTTTATTGGGATCTTTGATGTGTCCTCTAAGACTATCTCCCACTAGTATCCACCAGCAACGGGTGCTCATTGGACTTCTGCTGTCCCAATCCACAGAGAATACAGAGGCTTCCCAGTTGATAGCCCTTGATAGATAGGTTCTCCATGAATTCCTCCAGTGCGCCTGGAAGCCATCGGAGTTGGAGGCCATCACCGTGTTTCGTGGCTATGGATTCTACAGGTCCATGCTAACTTATGTGAAGAAGTTTTATTTTTTTCAGAAAAACACACAAAAACTTTGAGGTCCTTGGTGCTCTTGAGCTTGCTTGCTTTCTAGTGGACGTTTCATGGCCCAGTTAGATAACATCCTCAGTGCTAGTAGAGATTTGCTCTCAATTTATATTTATATTCTAGTGGCTTGCCCTGTCAGTGTTGGTGGGAGTGTTTTTTGATTGGGCTGTTGTTTACTCTTAGCTTATTTGTCTGAGTTGGTAGTTCCTTGATTGGGGGTCAATGGAGATTCTCAGTCATCCAGGTCATGGTTGTCCCAGAGATGCTTTTTCAAGAGGCAATTGGACTGTCTTTGTTTTTCTTTGAATAAGACGCTTCTTCAGCTCTGACTGGATGGTGGGGAATGGAAGGATTGATACTCATTGCAGACAACTGGTCATTTGCATCCTTTGAGAGAGTCGTTGAGGCCACTTGGAGGTTTATCTGTGCCCTCAGGGTCACCCGAGTTGTGCAAATGGGTGTGGAGCCTTCTTGGAACTACTGAAAGGACTCTGTTGTAGACTGGAGATAGATGATGTCGTATCCCTCCCCTTCTATTGAGAGAAGGCTGTTCAGTTTTTGACAGGTGGCCTCAATGACTCACTCAAAGAATGCAAACAACCAGCTGTCTGGAAGGAGTATAAATCCTTCCATTACCCACCATCCAGTCAGAACCGAAGAAGTTTCTTGGATGAGAAGCGAAATGTCTTCCAAGAAAAACCCAAAAGTCCAGTTGCCTCTTGAAAAAAAAGCATATTTGGGACTTCCTTAATTGGGGTTTTGTTTCCTACCATGTGTTGTGGCCCGTCAGCGGCCTGTGCGGATTGTAGCTGATTCTGAGAGCGAGGAGGCTGGTCTGGTGCTGCGCCAGCAGCCTGTGCAGCTGGCGCTCGAGTCGGACAGTGAAGAGGCTGGAGAAGATGTGGTGCCAGAGGCAGGGATTCAGCCAGGGCCTTAAGAAACTCCAGAAGCTCCTATAAGTGAAGAGGAGGAAGAGGAGGAGCCTCTTCTCGATGCATGGGCGTGCAGAGCTGCCAAAAGGCAGGCGTGGCTCCTCAGGAGGAGGTCTTTTGAGAGTAAGGCTTGGGGCTAATTGGCCACTCCCATAGCCTATTTAAGGAGGAATGCCAACTGAAGCAATTTGTAGGGAACAACTTTAGTTCATTCTCCTTTGCATCTGGATTCTCTGCAAATTGCTTCTGGGCTTTCTGCCAACCTTAGTAAGATTGTGATTACTTTGTCTTTGGTTTCTTGTAGGCTGTTAAGAAAGTTTATTAACAGCCTTTGTTTTGAAAAAGACTGAGTTATTTTAGTAAATTAAGTTTTGTACAGACTTTGTGTGTGCTGCGTTCTTTGGGGTCCGTAGCTGGGGCAGAACAGCATGTGATGACTGTACCTCTGTCTTTGAACTCCCTCCTCACGCTCTCTTCCCTGTCAGTTGCCGACCCACGTATCTCTTCCCCCTCTTCTTTCTCACCCAGATCCATGCTGGAGCAAGCCCAAAGCCGGAGGCTGCTGGAAGATTCCGATTCAGAAGAAGACCCCACTCCAGCTCGGCCAAAACCACTTGCAAAAGGGAAGCCCACTGACATCCTGCAACAGGTATGGAAGGAGTCCTCTGAGCATCTCCAAGAGGTTGGCTGATGTCATGGAGAAGGATTGTCCCTCTTCACGGGGGTCTCCTCTTGCCTTGAGCAGTGAGGCCGCAGACTGGGCGATCTCCAAAGTACCTTCTACAAGTAGTCCTTGACTTACAACCATTCGTTTAATGACCGAAGTTGCAATAGCATTGAAGAAGATAACATGATTATTTTTCAAATTTTGCAGTGTCCCCATGGTTGCATGATCAAATTTGAGATGCTTGGCCACTGACTCAGATTTGCGACGGCTGTAGCATCCCTGGGTCACACGATCCCCTTTTGCGACCTTCTGACAAGCAAAGTCAATGGGGGGGGGAGCCAGATTCACTTAACAACTCTGTTAGTCATTTAACAACTGCGGTGATTCATTTAACAACTGTGGCAAAAAGGTCGTAAAATGGGGGAAAATTCAAATCCATGCCCCACACCGACTCTGTGTGTGTGTGCATGCGTGCGCAGGTTGTCCTCAACTTATGACTGAAATTGACTGTTACAATGTGAGCCAGTTAAGAGAGTTTTACCATTTTTGCAGCATCCCCTTGGTCAAAATTCAGACGCTTGGCAATTGACTCGTATTTATGACGGTTGCAGTGTCCCGTGGTCACGTGATCCCCATTTGTGACAAGCAGAGTCAATGGGGGAAGCCAGATTCACTTAATGACCAGCTGGACAACTGCAATGATTCACTTTACAACTGTGCCCAGAAAGGTGGTAAAAATGGGGCAAAACTCACTTAACAACTGTCTCGCTCAGCCACCGAAATTTTGGGCTCGGTTGTGGTCGTAACTCGAGGACTACCTGCATTGAGTTCGCTTGTTGGAAGCCCGCTAGGAAAGGTCACCGATGGCAATTTCGTGACCGCAGGACTCTGCCACTGTCGTAAATGTGAGCCAGTTGCCATGCACCCAGATCGCTATCACAGCATGGCTGTGGGGATACTTTCATGGTCGTAAGTGGGAGAACCAGTCATAAGTCCCTTTTTTTCAGCCCCTTTGTAACTTCGAAGAGTTGCTAGACAAAGAGTTGATAAGCTGATAGAGGGATACCTGTAATAATAATAATAATAATAATAATAATAATAATAATAATAATAACAACAACAACAACAACAACAACAACAACAACAACAACAACAACTATTATTATTATTATTATTATTATTATTATTATTATTATTATTATTATTTTATTTCTATACCGCCCTTCTCCCGAAGGACTCAGAGCAGTGTACAGCCTGATTAAAAGCACAAAGACAGACAAAATTTAAAAATAATTAAAATTATTAAATAATTGACTCAATTATAAAACCCCCAAATTTAAAATCCCACATTTAAAACCAATTAAAATCTTTACATTGATAGCCCAGCCTGGCGGAACAACAAGGTTTTGAGGGCACAGCGAAATACACGGAGATTGGAGATCTTACGCATTTCCGGGAGCAGTTCATTCCACAGGGCAGGGGCTCCCACAGAGAAGGCTCTCCTCCTGGGTGTCGCCAGCCGACATGACTTGGCCGATGGCACCCTGAGGAGACCCTCTCTGTGGGAGCGGACTGGCCGGTGGGAGGCTACTGGTGGCAGAAGATGGTCTTGAAGGTACCCAGGTCCAATGCCATGGAGCGCTTTAAAGGTGGTAACCAAGGTAGGTAGAACAAACATCATATCTCAAGAGGTTTTTTTTTTGTTTGTGTGTGTTTGTGTTTGTGTGTATGCCCACGCACCTTGCTCATACAAAATTTGCTCAGAGTGGAAATCTTTAACCCTGATCTGATCAAATCCCCTGAAAAAGATGTTGAGACTTTGGAAAAAGTGCAAAGAAGGGCAGCTAAGATGATTAAAGGCCTGGAGACTAAAACATTAGACTTACAATAACTTTATTGTCACTTTGAATGTACACTGATCAGCATACATTAAAATGAAATTTCATTGCCTACAGCTCTCAAAGGGCCTCCACCTCCAATATACACCACATAACCAGGACAGAATGAATGAATAAATAAATGAATAAATAAATAATGCATATACCCACATATATTATTATATGACCCAGGGAAACAACATAGTCTAGTTCGGATGTATACGTGTACGTGATGAGAGAAATGAATCCTGAGAGTTTACCAGATGGACGGCATAGGGAACAAAGCTGTTACAGAATCTGGTAGTCCTGCTAGAAATACTTTGAAACCTCCTTCCAGAAAGGAGCAACAAAAACAGACCGTGAAGTGGGTATACGGGGACTCTTAACAATGCTTGGAGCTCTAAGCACAGCAGAATCCTGAATAATGGGAAGCAAGCTTCCTATAATCTTCTCTGCTGTCCTTACCACTCTCTGTATGGACTTTCTATCTGAGGCACTGCTGCCACCAAACCAAACAGTGATGCAGTTTGTTAAAACGCAGATGAAGAACGGTTGCAGGAATTGGATATGGTGAGTCTAGAGAAAAGAAGAATTAGGGGTGACATTATAGCAGTATTCCAGTATTTGAGGGGCTGCCCCAAAGAAGAGGGGCTCAACCTATTCTCCAAAGCACCTGAAGGCAGGACAAGAAGAATGGATGGAAACTAATCAAGAAGAGAAGCGACCTGGAATTTAGGAGAAACTTCCTAACAGTGAGGACAATTAACCAGTGGAACAGCTTGCCACTAGAAGTTGTGGGTGCTCCATCACTGGAGGTTTTTAAGAAGAGTCTATACCAGTGATGGCTAACCTTTTTGCCATCGCGTGCCAGGAGAGGGGGGGGGACGGGAGAGAGTCGCGCACGCACGTGTCCACGCGCATGCGCACGCAACCCCACCCACCCCCGCTCCTGCCGCATGATGGCCTGGTAGGCCCGTTTTTCTTTCTTACCTGCTTCCAGATCCTCTCTATGCATCTGGGAAAAGCGAAAACAGCCTTTCCCACTCCTTTGGAGGCCCTACGGAGGCTGAAAGGGCCCATTTCCCAACTCTCGGTGGGACAGGAAGTGACATTTTTTGCTGTCCCCAGCCTCCAGAACCTCTCTAGGAGCTTCTCCAGGAGTCTCTAGGAGCCTCTCTTAAGAGTCTCTGGAGGCTGGGGACAGGAAAAAACGTTACTTCCTGTCCCTCCGGGAGTCTGGAAATGGGCCCTTTCAGCCTCTGTAGGGCATCCAAGGGGGTGGGAAAGGCTGTTTTTGCCCTTCCCAGATGCATAGAGAGCCAGGTAAGAAAGAAAAACGGGCCTTCCCCACCCCCGGCCCTCCAGAGGCAGGAAACAGCCTGTTTCCCTACTTCTGGTGGGCCCAGAAGGCCCGAAAATCAGCTGGCCGGCGTGTGCATGTGCCCCAGAGCTGAGCTGGCGTGCCCACTGATATGGCTCCATGTGCCACCTGTGGCACGCGTGCCATAGGTTCGCCATCGGGTCTAGACAGTCACTTATCTGAAATTGCATAGATTCTCCTGCTTGAGCAGGGAGCTGGACTAGAAGACTTCCAAGGTCCCCTCCAGATTTATTCTGATTGAATTGAAAAATTCAGGTGGTTTCAGTGGACACCGAGACACACAAACCAGGAATTGCAACCCTACATTGTTTCGTGTCACGACCACTATATACGTGTCGGCACTTCAACCTGCATTTACTCTAGTGCTGACATAAGAAGGAGAAGAGGGGACAGCTGGCAAGAGGACGCTTGACTTCTCACCTACTTATTTTCCCTGAAGATAATATCCCCTAGGAGATGAGATGGGAGGGGGGACATTCCTGGGAGCTGAAGTACTAGATATGGGGAGAGTGATTTGGAGGAGGGCCAATGGGACGCTGAGAATTGGGGAAGGGAAAAGGAAGGTTTGGGGTCAGGAAGTCAGTGTTGGCTTCGTTTGGAGTCATGTTAGGATGTCGTGCTCACTAGGAGTTTTTTCTTCAAAGATTTTGTTTGAAATGCATTTTATTCGAGACGACCACGAAACTTGACAATACGGCTGGGATGGTGTCCACTTTGACCACAGCTGCTTTTAGTGTAACCCTTGGTGTGTCATTTCCTTCCTTCCCAGGATTCAGAGCCACAAGCTAAGAAGCCAAAACTGGAAAGCTGGGAACGGAGTGTGGGAAAACTCTCGGTGAAAACACAACTGTCGGGATTGGTGACCGCCAAGAAGAAGCCCATTTCCGGGGCGGCCAATGGACCAAGAAACCGAGAGGCAGCATCAGAAGCAGGTGAGGAGGACAAAGCAGCTCCAGGGGAGAAAGAGACAAGAGATCTTCGGGGGGGAGAAAGGATGAAGGCAAACACTTAAAAAAAAAGAGGTGATGTTGAGTTGGGTTGGGTTGAGTTGGGTTGGGTTAGTTGAGTTGAGTTGGGTTGGGTTGGGTTGGGTTGAGTTGGGTTGAGTTGAGTTGAATACACGTAGTCCTCGATTTACAATCACAACTAAGCCCAAAATTTCTGCCACTACGTGAAACATTTGCTAAGTGAGCTTCGCCACGTTCTACGACTTTTCCTTGCCACAGTCATTATAAGCGAATCGCTGCAGTTGTTTAAATTGGTTCCCACGGTTGTTAAGTGAATCTGGCTTCCCCATCAACTCTGCTCGTCAGAAAGCCGCAAAGGGAGATCCGCGTGACCCTGCAACCGTCATAACTGTGAATCAGTTGCCCAGCGTCTGAATTTTGATCACATGTGACCATTGGGATGTTGGCAACGGTCTTAAGTTATAAGTCACTTTTCCAGCCCCATTCTAACTTTGACCGGTCACTAAACGAACTGTTGTAAATTGAGCAATGCCTGTATTTTATTTGGCCAAGTGTGATTAGACACATGAGTTTCTGTCTGGTACAGACGCCCTCAGTGTTCCCTGATAGAGACTCAATGCTAGCTTTATTTATTGCATTTTATTACAGGATTTTATTTATTCAGATTGATAGCAGAAAGTCCTCAATTAACAACCATTCATTTAGTGATCATTCGAAGTTACGACAGCACTGAAAAAAGGTGACACACCCATTTTTCACATTTGCAGAATCCCCGGGGTCACGTGATCAAAATTCGGCCACTTGGTAACTGACTCACATTTATGACGGTTGCATTGACCCGGGGTCACATGATCGCCTTTTGCGGCTTCTGACAAGCAAAGGGACTGCCAGACTCACTTAAGAACCGTGTTACTAACTGTACAACTGCAGGGATTCGCTCCACAACGGTAGCAAGGAAGGTCTTAAAATGGGGCAAAACTCAAGTGTCTTGCTTAGCAACAGACACTTTGGGTTCAATTGTGGATGTGAGTCAAAGACTCTCTGCATAGCTGCTCATCATTCATATGCATGCACACGCACACACATAGACCCACAGATCTGATAGATGATGGTGCTGTCTGAGCTTGGTGGTTTTGTTGCAGACATTTCATGACCCAACTAGGTTACAGCATCAGTGCTAGAAGGGAGTGTCGAGTTTGCTCTTTGTTTATACAGTATATACTGGTTTGCACTATCAACTCTTTCTTGCAGCAACAGTCGTAAGGATAAGGACCAGTTGTAAGCCATTTTTTTTTCAGGACTAAAGTAACTTCACTAAGTGAATAGTTGTAAGTTGAGGACTTCCTGTATGGTGTGAAGTGCTTTAGTTCCAACAGAGGGCAGCATGCAGCTGCTTAATCTAAATTTGTAAGCTAATTGGGATCACAGGAAAAAGTTCCAGGATATTCCTGAACTCTAGGCTTGATTATTGCCAACAGGACAGTGTGGATGTGCCTTGTAATCCACCAGGAATTGTGCTTCAAATGATCTTGTAATCGAGGCCTGTGTTGCCTCTTTTGGCATCTTTGTCTCTGTTGAATTTTTAGCCTGGAAATATATCTGAAATGAAAGAGGAAGTGGGATGTTTCAAAGGACGAGAATCAGGTTGTAGATCAGTGTTTCTCACCCGTGGCAACTTTAAGATGGGTGGACTTCAACTCCCAGAATTCCCCAGCCAGCATGATTGATTGATTGATTGATTGACTGACTGACTGACTGACTGACTGACTGACTGACTGACTGACTGACTGACTGACTGACAGACAGACAGACAGACAGACACAATAAAGAGATAGATAGATAACAGAGGGAGATGGATAGATGAATAGATAGACGTAGAGATAGATGATAGATTGACTAAATAGATAAATAGATGGACAGATGATAGACAGATAAAAGATGGATGGATGGATAGATGGATAGATGATAGAGACAGACAGACAGACAATAGATAAAGAGATGGATAGATAGGTGATAGATAATAGTAATGAGATGGATAGATAGATGGCTAGCTAGATTGATTGATAGTAAATAATAGATGGATAGATGATATACAGTAGATAAATTATGAGTAGATAGATAGATAGTCAGACAGACAGATGGTAGAGAAAGAGATGGATAGATGGATAGATAGATAGATAGATAGATAGATAGATAGATAGATAGATAGAGATAGAGATAGATAGATGAGATAGATAGAGATAGAGATAGATACATAGATGAGATAGATAGATGGATAGATGGATAGATAGATAGATAGATAGATAGATAGATAGATAGATAGATAGAGATAGAGATAGATAGATGAGATAGATAGAGATAGAGATAGATACATAGATGAGATAGATAGATGGATAGATGGATAGATAGATAGATAGATAGATAGATAGATAGATAGAGATAGAGATAGATAGATGAGATAGATAGAGATAGAGATAGATACATAGATGAGATAGATAGATGAGATAGATGATAGATAGATAGATAGATAGATAGATAGATAGATAGATAGATAGATAATAGACAGACAGATGAATCAGGAAGGATGCTTGTGAAACTCTGCAGAGCAAAAACAGAGGGACCTTCCCTTCATGTGTCATCGATGTGGCCACTTCCCCTTGAATGAAGAGACAGTTAGACAGAAGATCAAAAGCATCAAGGAGCCATCCCCTTAATCTTCTCCCTGATTCAGGTGGCAATTGAACTTCGCTTTTTCTTGCAAAAACTCTGCCTAACTTGATTAGAATTTAACTACAGGTAGTCCTCGATTTAAAACTGGTCACTTAACGACCTTTCAAAATTAAGATGAACCCCCCCCCCAAAAAAGGGCGCTTAAAACCCGGTTCCAATTTCTTCCCCCCCCCCCCCACACCACAGCCACGTGACTGCATTTTGGGCAGTCGGCGACCTGCAGTCACCTGACCACATTTTTACGACGTTTCTACTGACAACCGGCATTTATTTTGTGGAGTTTTGTGGCAAAACGCCCCATGGGTTCATTTATATGACCGCCACAAGAAAAAGTCATCAACTTTGAATGGTTTTAAGTCAAGGATGACTTGTACTTAAATCGGGTTGGTTAGCTGGGCGATCCGCTTTACAACCACCATGACTTACCGTCATAAATCAAGCACCACATGTATTGGGTTAGTTTTTAAGGGGCTTGGTTGGAATCGTAATGCCAAAAATTCCTGTTAAGGGAATTGACCATCTCTCTACCCTTCGGATGCCCACGTGGGAAGGGACTGAGCTTCTGTCTTTCTTAAGGGTCGGGGCATATGGGCTCAATAGTCCAGGATCTGAGAAGTCTGAGTTGGGAAGGGTTGGCGAAGTTCTTTTGTGTCTTTCTGCAACTGTTGAATTGTCACATCTTCATCTAGGAGTTGGAGAACAGCACAGTCTCGGCGCTTCTACAGCGACCCCGCCCAGCTCAAACATGGGGGTCTCTTCCCTCGGCCTTCTGGGGGCTTACTCAGACAGTGACGACAGTAAAAGCGACTGAATTCTTGGGGGGGAAAAAAACTTGTGGGGTTGCAAGAAGACCTTCTCCAGCACACCCCCCACCACCACCCCCACTTCTGAGGAGCGAAACTTTTTCATTCCGGCTGAAATCCGGGATGTCCTACTGGATAAGACTGCCAGTGAACACTTTTCCCGGCCGGCAAGAAGAGCAAAGAGCATTATTTTGTTTTTTTCCCCAAGGTGAAGTTGGTTGAGAGAGTGGTGTCCTTTCTCAAGTATTGGCAGCCCGGCTGGGGTGAACAGAAGGTGTGAGTGGGAGGCCGGCGTGCATGTGTGCAAGGGCAGCTCAACTCATGCTAAGGGGCTAGGACGCATGCACATGTGCGGGCAGCTCGACTGCAAATTGTCCTGCGTGTGCGTCCAGCCCGCCACTTGCATGGCCCGGTTCCAAATAGACCATGGCCCGGTAGTGGGCTGCATCCCAGGGGGGAGGGGGTTGGGGACCCCTGTCCTAATAGACCTCTTGAAGGACTACATAGATCTTCTCACCCCCATCTCTTCTTGTCTAACTCGATATTCCTCAACTCCAGCAACTTTTAAGATGTGCGGACTTCAACTCCCAGAATTCGTCTTAAAATTGCTGAGATGGACAAATGCCGTTTTAATGGATCTGAAACAGAAGAGGTCAGAATTTACCCTGGCATGTTAACAGTGGTTATTCAGAAGAAGACGATCCTGTCCAGACTAGTGGACACACAGGGTGAATCCCCACAATCTTAACTCTTTGCCAAATCTGCATTTTCCTCACGGCAGTTCGTAAAAAAATAAATAAATTTCAACTTTGGTAGAGTGTTCCCTGTGACGGCCGACTCATGGATTCAATCCCCTCTGTTCTCGAGCGAGATCGGTGCACAGGTAAGTCCTCAAGTTGCCACCATTCGTTTAGGGACCCGTTCGAAGTTGCAACGGCACTGAGAAAAGTGATTTACGACCGTTGAAATGTGTTTGAATATAAGCAGGGGTGGGCTTCAGATCCTTTAGCAATGGGTTTGATGCCCCATGGGCGTGGCCTAGTTGGCCACCTGCACCACGGTTGGGGGGGCATTTTTTCGCCCTCCCCAGGCTCCGGAGGCTTTTCTTGAGCCTCCGGGAGGGCAAAAACAGCTTCCCACAGGCCTGTTTCCGGACTTCTGGAATCTCTGGTAGGCCCGTTTTTTGCCCTCCCAGACTTTCCGCATAGCCCTTGCACTTACCTGGAATGATGAATGGGTCATGTGGAAATTCCTGGGAGGGGCGGGGCAGGGTGGGCGTGGCCAGCCAGGAGTGGCCTTTGAGGGTTTACCGAACCCTAGCAATCCTTGGCTAGAGGATTGCCCCAACCCCCAGGAGCCCACCCCTGAATATAAGTAGCTCAGGCTGGTAGTTGGGCTGTTGGGCTGAGCTTGGCGATTTGGTTGCAAACGTTTCGTCACCATTCGAGGAGATGTCGTCCGTGTGCTTCGAATTGGGCTCGTCTGTCAGAGCGCTGCCCTATCAATACCTTTTTTTTTTATGTGATGCAAATTAGCGTGAGTGTTTATCTGACAAGTCAGACCATGATTTAGAAGTAGCCGAACAAACAACATCCACGCTAATTTGCATCACATGAAATGGTATTGAAAGGCCAATGCTCTGACAGACGAGCCCACTTCAAAATGCACCGACGATGTCTCCTTGGATGGTGACGAAACGTTTGCAGCCAAATTGCCAAGCTTGGAGCTCAGAACAACAGCCCCACTTTTTCATACTTAACGACCACTGCAGCATCCCCATGGTCACTTGATCAAAATTCAGATGCTTGGCAACTGACTCACATTTATGACGGTTGAAGTGTCCCGGGGTCACGGGATCCCCTTTTGCGACCTTCTGACAAGCAAAGACAGTGGGGAAGACAGATTTACTGAACAACTGCAGTGATTCATTTAACAACTGTGGCAAGAAAAGTCGTAAGTTGATGCAAAACGCCCTTGAGCAATGTCTCACTCAGCTATGGAAATTTTAGGCTCAATTGCGGTTGTAAATCGAGGACTACTTGTATTTATGATGATTGCAGTGTCCCGAGATCATCCAATCCCTGTTTGCGACCTTCTGACAAAGCAATGTGGAAGGCCGATTCACTTAACAACCGTGTCCCTAACTGAACAACTGCAGTGATTTATTTAACAACTGGAGCAAGAAAGGTCATAAAATGGGACAAAGTTCATTTACCAAATGTCTCTCTCAGCAACATAGTTTTGGGCTCGATGGTGGGTCGCAAGTCGAGGACTACATGTATTTATGCCGATTGGAGTGTCCGAGATCATCCGATCCCCATTCGCAACCTTCTGACAAGCAAAGTCAACGGGAAAGCCAGATTCACTTAACAACCGTGCCCCTACCTTAAGAGCTGCAGCGATTCACTTAATAACAGTGGCAAGGAAGGTTGTAAAACGGGACAAACTTAACTGTTTTGCAGAGCAACAGACATTTTGGGCTCAATTGAGATCATTAAGTCGAGGATGATCCATAATAACACACGCATGCACGCACACAGTCGGTGAGGCCATGGATTCAGTTAATGACGAGGTGATTCGCTGAATGAGTCATGGTCGTTCAGCAAACACCCAGGGTCAGAAGGGTGCACCCATTCTTTCCTCTTAGCTCCCCGCAGCCCACGCTGCACGTGATCCACGATTCAAGTTGTGGCATTGCGTGGCTGCTCTGAAGGCATCTCGTGCCAGTGAGTCCAGCCACCATCACCATTTCCCCTAGCCCAGTGTTTCTCAACCTTGGAAGCTTGAAGATGGGTGGACTTCAACTCCCAGAATCCCCCAGCCAGCGCTGCTGGCTGGGGGATTCTGGGAGTTGAAGTCCACCCATCTTCAAGCTTCCAAGGTTGAGAAACACTGTGTTCTGTCCCCGTCTCACACACAGACACAAACAGACAGCCGGGGGTTAAATAAACTGGCAGACAACCAATTCTTCCGATAAGATGCTTGGCAGCAACCCAGTAGCTGCTTGCCAAGAACTTTTACTCAATAAACAAAATACCCACAGTCAAGAATTGTCCACTTCGTAAAATCAATCCAAGGCCGATAACGTTGTTTCCAAAGATGCAATGCGACTCGATAGTAGTTAGTTTTGTCCGTCACAGAGTCTGAATGGCCACCTCACCCCCTTTTATACCCTGTGGGGTGTGGTCCAGTGACTCAGCCTAATCTCTGGCACGCCTTTTCTGTTGCGTGCGCTTATCTCTGCGACGCTGCTGAGGATCCAGCCAAGACTCATTACCCTCATCACTGTCCACCTGTGGCTGCGTGGACGTGCTTGGCCCCAGCCCTATCTCTTGCCCTTCGGCGGACACTGAAGGCATTGCCAGAGAGGAGGGTCCTGGAGAAGGATGCCTTGTCAACTCCTTTCCTTCACTCTTGGAGTCCTCTCCTGCTGATGACACAGGCTCAGGTAACGGAGCCACAACACACTGCCCTAGCCCTTCTTCCCCGGCAGCAGGAGGGGCTCGACCCGGAGACCTCCCAGTCTTTGAATATTATCGTGTTTCCCCAAAAATAAGATCTGGTGTTATTTTCTTTTGGCTCCCCAAATAAACACCAGGTCTTATTTTCAGGGGATGTCTTACCCGCTTACCTTGGGACCACCGCAGCCAGGCCTCCCACTCCCTGACAGCCGTTGCGCCGCTGCCCGATTCCTGCAGCTTCTCGCAGCCAGACACCGCATGGCTCATCGCGCCAGTGCCACCGCTCATGGCAGGAGGCTGTGGTATGTGCCGTTGCACGAGCAAGCGGCACCGATGTGCTGTGCAATGCGGCATCCTGCCGCGAGCAGGTTTGCGGGGGGTAGAGGGCAGGGTGTTATGGCCTGTCAGTGGCTCCACCCCCCGCAAACCTTTGCCCCACCTCATACAACCAGATAGTGGGTGGGGTTTATTTTGGGGGTAGGCTTATATTGGGCACAGGCTTGAAAATTGGGCTAGGGATTGTTTTTGGGGTAGGTCGTATTTTGGGGTAGTAGCTTGGGTTAGTAGTTATGTTGATATGCGCCCCGAGCTTGGCGATTTGGTTGCAAACGTTTGGTCCCCATTCATGGAGAAGTCTTTAGTACGCTTTGGATTGAGGCAAGGGTGAAATGCTCCTGGTTCCGACCGGATCGCCCGATCCAATAGCAATGGAGGCAGGTGGTTCGGAGAACCGGTAGCAAAAATCCCTCCCCCCCCATGCCCAGCTGCATAATCATCAGAGGTTTTTTTTTACTTTTAAAAGCATTTTTTCTACAACCTCTTGGGCCGAAAAAAACATTTTCAAAGAAAAAAAAAAAAAAAAAAAAGCCTCTGATCGCGCAGCTCAGCTGTCAGATTGTCAAAGGCTTTTAAAAGCATTTTTTCTACAGCGTGTTCAGAGTGAAAAGGTTGTAAAAAAATACTTTCAAAAGGCTCTGACGATCCCAGCTGAGTTGCCTGATCATCAGAGGCTTTTTTTCTTTTAAATGCCTCTGACGATCCAAGCTGAGTTGCCTGATCGTCAGAGGCATTTAAAAGAAAAAAAAGCCTCTACCGATTATGCAACTCAGCTGGGATCCTCAGAGCCTTTTGAAAGCATTTTTTTTTACAACCTCTTCGCCGAAGTCAACCTATTCACACTCACAATCACACAACCCGAAATCAGACCACGACTCCGAATGCTCCTTATAAGGCCAGGGCTGCCCCAGACAAGCACAATCCAAAACGCACCGAAGACGTCTCCTCGAATGGGGATTGCAATTTTTGCAACCGAATTGCCAAGCTCGGCGCTCAAACAAACAACATACAACCTCCCAGTTCGCCTGGCTAACCGGTCCAAGAAAACAAACTGGTTTCCTTTTAGCTCCTGAGTTCCTAGGCCATCTGTCGGCCTTCGCAGCCCATCTGCAGGATGGCTTCCCGAGCAACGTTTTTGGCAGGCCGACATACGCAGCGTTGAAACTCTGAAGCAAACAGATCAGGAGCCTCCCTGCTTCCGTCTGGCTGGGCGACAGTGCAACAAAACGTTGCTACACTAGAAACGACAGATTGGCTAGTGTTGGCAGATAGTCCTCGATGTTACGACCACAATGGGAACCGGAACTTCCATTGTTAAGCCATGCGGTCGTTTAGTGAGCTGGGCTCCATTTTGCTAACTTTTTGTGTGTGTGTGCCGTGGAGCCTCTCCCTGAGGGAGACGGGCGAGTAAGAAATATTAAATATAAATAAATAGATGGTAGTTGAGATGAGCAAGAACCAGAACTGAAGAAGAAGAAGAAGGAAAAGAAGAAGAGGAGGAGGTGGGGGAGGAGGAGAAGAAGGAGGGAGGGGAAGGAGATGAAGGAGGAGGAGAAGGAAAGGAAAGAGGAGAAGAGAAGAAAAAGAGAAGGAAAGAACGAGAAGATGAAGACAAAGAGAAGGAGGAGATTAAACAAATCACTGCAGTTGTTAAGTGAATCACATGGTTGTTAAGCAAATCCAGCTTCCCCCAGCTGGGAAGGTCACAAAAAGCAGTCCCATGACATGCTCCCCTCCTCGGGACACTGCAATCGTCATAAATATATGTCGGCTTCAAAGCCGCCTAAATTTTGATCATGTGAGCGAGGGGACAGTTGTGAGCGCGAGGACCGTTTTTCAGTGCCGGCGTAACTTCAGTCGTTCAACAAATAGTTGTAAGTTGAGGACTGCCTGTCATGCAGACTGAGAGCCGCAGCAAAGTGCTGCAGTGGGCAGAGCTTGCTCTTGCAGATTCAGCAACTGGCTTCTCTCCCCTCCCTCCTCCCTCAAGGGACCCTGTCTGGTCTCTCTCTCTC